GATGCATGCCAAACATTTACATACACATCTTTCCTCCACCACAGAGCCAAACCCCCACTTTTATCTCTCGACTCCATATAAACATCAAAATCCATAAGGCACTTCTTGTGAATTTTCTTCAATTTCTCATTTAACATTCGGGTTTCTATTAGGAAGATTAGTGAGGGATTATTCTTCAAAAACTCTTCCCCAATTTATGAACTATTAAGGCTCTTCCCATACCCTAACAATTCTATAAAATAAGTATCATGGCAACTTAATGGCTGTTTGAGGCCAGTCACCACTACCTTTAGCACAATTACCTCTTCCACCCCCTTTACCATGAGCTTTAAATATAAAATTTTCATTATTATAAAGATTTTTCACATTCATCATATCTTCTTCATTAACACTCCCTTCCTTATTTCGGTTGTCTACTTTCCTCCTTCGTTTTTGACTTCCCTCTCACATCCTTGCCTTAACTTTTCTTAGATTATTGCTTTGACCCAAGCTCACATTCTCCAAACTTATCTTTCTTCATTTCAAACAACTTGAGCCCAACTCCTTGAAAGCCTCTCTCTTAATTCCCAACACCTTTACTTTCTCAATAACCTTATTAATCACTTTCTGCATATAAGGCATAATGGCCCACTCATTCTCCTTAATATCAAATGCAAGGTGCTCATTTGATTTACCAACACAGTTTTAATCTAGGCCATTAATATTAGCCCTTATCTCTACTTCCTTACACATATTATCCTTCCATCTATTGGGCCCTTTTGACAGAGGCCCAACCTTTAAATTCCTAACACAGTCAACATCTTTTTTGGGTTAGTTTTTTTTTATTCTTCAAACCTCTAGCTTGACTATTCATTCTTGACTGACTTTTTCTAGACTTCTCTCCCCTCATTTGAATCACAAACAAATTGTTAGATATTGCATCAGATTCACAGGTCTTCTTTCTAACACTATCATCTTCCCCTTTCTTGATCTCTTTCTCTCCATGTCTTTTAGTTTGAAAAGTCTCAAACTACCCTTCCTTTACCAATCTTATCACCTCCTCCTAAGTTCTGACATGGTTAGCCAATAGCTATGTTCCATACCTTGGTTTATTAAGACTTACCATAAATATCAACCACAGTGAACCATAAGATCTTAGTTTATGACCAATATGACCACATTGAAAAAAAAATTCTATAATGTTTCATAAGGTATAGAGCACCATTTACAATCCACATTTCATTTTGAAATCCAAAATCCATTAGCTAGTGGTTCCTTCAAATCCAATAGCATATAAACACACAAGTAAGTTCTCAATAACCTTCTACCATGCCTCGAATCTCCTACCATTACAACTTCTCCCACATGATTTCTAATCTTAATCACGCTCTCAACATACATTGCCTCCAATAGAATATTGTGTAGCTGGATCCAAATTGGACTTCTCCTAAAATATACTTCATTAAATACATAAAATTTCTTGTGCTCTTGTATGTTTAATAATTGTCCATTAATCGACCAAGGCATTCCTTTAAGAATTTTTTTGGCACTCGTCTTCATTTGAGAAGGTGAATACAAAAGCATTGCAAGCCACATCTATAATCTCAAATCTATCTTTTAGATTCCAAGCCTTTTGTAGAATTGTCTTAAATGTAAGACGATTCACTTCCTTCTCAACAGTTAGTTTCCCAATTAATGTCTTTCTACAATCCTCATCCTTCCACATGAAATCATCAATTACTTTACCTAAATGACTACTTTCGCCTGATTCCATCTCATATTGCCTTACACTTATCTCCATCGTCATCCTCCACACCTCCGATCAATCCTCACTAGAGTTGGGAAACAAGCAAGCCCAGCCCTTAAAGGTTCAGGCCTTGAAGGTTAGTTTCCTAAAATTCTTTTAAATCTTGAGGCCTAGCCCTTATGTAAAGGGCTCAGGGCCGGACCTATAAGTTCAATTATAAAAAAATAAAAAAACTAATATTATAATTTGATTAGAATATGTTAAAATTAAACATAAAATAAACCAAGGTAATTACTCTAGTTAACTAAAAAAAATAATTACTTTGATTAAACTTGATAAGAATCAGAGCACCCATATAAGATAATTAAAGATTAAAATATTAGCCGCCTAACACCTACGGCATGATAACAACTGTGAGTGGAAAGAAGATCATGAAAGGTGTAAGGGAGAGTAGATGCAATATACGTGAGGGTGACAGGGCAAGGAAAATGTGGGAGGGAGAGCTAAGTGATTATGAGTAAGGCAGAGATTAAAAAGGAGGTAAGGATAACCGACGGCTAACAAGAGAGCAGAGATGCTGAGTGAGTCAGAGATAAACAACAACTGACGGGAAAGCAGATAAGTGGCTGTGAAATCTTCAATCTTCAAGCTAAGAGAGTGAGTGTTTGGATCAAACAAAGAAGGTTGAAAGAGTAAAAGTCAAGAGATAAAAAATTAGTGAGGTTTAAGCCTTATGTTTTTTCTCTATATACCGTTTTTACATATATTGCAAAAAAAAAAAAAGATAACAAGGCTTAAAGGGTCATCCAAGTTCAAGTTTATTTTTTTAAGGCTTATCAGGGTTGAGCCTAAAAGCCCAATTACTTTAAAACCCATTATTTTTCAAGCCTGAATCCTTATTTAAATGGGCCTATAGGCCCGACCCTTTAGGAATGGCCTTTATTTTCAACTCTAACCCTTACACACTTGAAACCTCACAATTCTCACGCACTTAATACGTAGAGAGTTATAGAGCTCTCACCGAGGAGAGAGTCTTTTTGTTCTTTTTGATAGCCTACCTTTTCATGACCAACTCATTTATGAAATCTAAATAAAGTTCTATCATTTTCCTCTCCTTTTCCACTTATGCAACATCAATTCGGCAATTTCAATAATTTTATTTGAAGCTCTTATATTTTTTAAAGGCTAAAATAGGAAATGGTTATATGTCGTGAAATTTTAAGTTCTTTAAACGAATATAAGTTCTTTTTATGAAAATAATTGAACTAAAATAGACTTTGCTTTTTTTTTTTGGCAGCTTGAAGTAACTATTTATTTAAACTAGTCAATGGCATGATGTAGATGGTGGATTTATTAACCTTGACCAAGAAAAAATAATAATTAAAAGGGTGTGAATTAATTAACTCTTACATTGCTTCGAATGGATCAAAGTTTGGAGGAATCGTAACATGCATACAAACTTCAAAGTCAATGGATGGAACAAGACATTCTAATTCTAATTTTTTTTTTAAAAAAATGAGGTATTCTATTTAAAACAGAAAAAAGCATTTTTTTTTAGTAATGATTTGCGTGTTAGGAAGACCACGTGAATTATTTGTTTACGAAATTTTCGCCCCTTGAAAATAATTCTTCTTTAGCGTAAATTGAAAATTGATAAATACAAATACAAGTGCTTTTTTTTCAAAAAAGTAAGCATGTATTCAAACTGTGATGTGCAAAACCAAGCCTAACAAAATTAACCCCATCGGACAAATCCAGCGGAACTGAAGTGAACTATTTCTCTTTGATTTGATTCTTAAACCCTCTATGGTTCTCTTCTTAACCTTTTATCTCCCCAATGACATGGGCTGCCGACAAAGCCCAACAGTGTCTCCCGTCAAAAGTACATACGTACAACTGCCATGAACTTTTCTAAGGAAAAAGAGATTGAAGAGGTTTTGGCCCAAAACAACTTTTCCAAGGAAAGCCCACTTTCGCTTAGATGTTGTTCGGCTACTTTTTAAAATTTTAAAAGTTGCAAATTAAGTCTAACGAAATGAATTAATTTCTCACAATATGAATTAAATTTTAAATTTTGACTTAAAAAAGATGCTGATATTTAATTTTTTATTATGTTTTAAACAAGATTACCTATCTTTAAATAATGGATATCTGTAAATAATAAAAAAAATTCAAAAAATATTTGAGTATTATCAAATTTTAATATTTTGTACGATGTTCATATAATCATTAGTAATAGTAATAGTAATTTTTCATGAGTTATGAAAAACACATATAATTAAATATTTAGTGTTATAGTTTTTTAAAATCTAGAATGAATTATGAATAATACAACTCATCTCATTTTTATATTATATTGACTTACGGTAAATGTTTCGAATTTGAGTATTTTGAGAGGCAACTTTCTGTTAACGAAACCAAAACCAAATCACTCACTCCGTTTTTATAAGTCAATCTTTAGCCAATTCATATGAATTAAAAAGGTTCCTTAAATTTAGTTTAAGGGAAGATGATAATGAAGGATCCCCTAAAGGCATCAATCTTAATTAAGGATCATAAAATATTAAAATCTCAATAATCCTTAATTGAAATAAAACACATATCTAACTTATAAAATTTTCCTTCACAAAAATACTAAAAGATAACAAATTATGTTTGTGTTTTTTGTTATCTTTGGATGCAAAAAATCTAGGCAAAAACTTAGTGAAGTGGATCATTATTTAGGTCATTATCTTCTCCCCTCTTTGATAATAGGTCATTATATGTATTACTTTTTTTTACATCTTCTCCCCTCTCATGTGCGATAAATCTATATGAGAGTAAATTTTTTGTGCCCAAAAAGAAGAACAAAGAATACAAACATAAGTTGTTATCTTTTAGTGTTTAGTGAAAAACAATTTTATGAAGTTAAATATGTTTGTTATCTCAATTAAAGACCACGATTTTTAATTAAAATTTTAATATTTTATAGTTTTTAATTGAAATTAATATCCTTAGGTCCTAAATTATTTTTTTTTCCCCTTTGTTTAATGTTCCATGATCTAATTTTTACTTATTTATCTCAACTCTTCTTCGCACCCCAATTACTCAACAATATACATATTATTAAGAGTTCTAATGAAAGACAATGATAACTGTTTTATGGATTTTATAAAATTTCTTTTAAACAGAAGCATGAAAAGTTTTTAAAAGATCACTGTCAGGTGAGAATAAATAGAGAGAGTACTCGTTGCTCCTTGAAACAGGAAGCACGAAGTTATAGTTCGAGTAAGGTAGTACTTAATTGCTCGTACACGACAATGAGTCAATGGAACTGAAAAATGAATAGAGAAGGGAACCACAAAAACGTCTCCTTCTGCCATGCCCATGCTCTTAACTACAAACTAGTGAACTGCCCACCTGAAATCTTCATAAGCCTCAAGGGGCCTGATCTCGCCTGTGTCCTGAAAGGCCCGGAAACAAAATCATGCAGTCCTATCACTGCAGAAGCTTCTGGTGTGTCAGCTGTATCTAGCTTACACAAGATGCAGAGTTTTGAAGTTCCAAAAGGTTTCATTTTTTAAAGGGAAACATCCATCTTCACAGGACGAAGCGGAACAACAATCTGGTCCTGTCTTGTCTTCTTGTCTCCGAGCACTATTCATTAACATCATGAAATTCTTGCTGGCTTGGATTTCCAAAAGGAAACTGTGACTGAAACAGAAGGTTGTTGGTGGGGTCTAAATCATCCCACACAGGGCTCTCAGGTCCCCAACCTTGTGGAATCGCATTGTACCAAGCTTCCATGTCTCCCAAAACCAATTTCTGCTCCTCTGAAACCCCTTTCTCTGCTGCATTATCTCTAGCAACTTCTTGCTTCTCTCCTGCTGGTTCAGGCTGCTTTGAGGAGGAGGAGGAAGAAGCAGCAGTTGAATATGGAACTTTATTGAGAAAGAGCTCGGGGAAATTGAGCCGAGCATTCTGTCCTCGGAGCTTAAAGGCCTGGCGATCATAAGCCAGAGCAGCATCTTCTGCAGTATCAAATGTGCCTAACCAGAGGCGATTTCTACTGTTAGGAAGACGAATCTCAGCCACCCATTTGCCCCAATGGCGTTGCCTGACTCCCCTGTAGAGCTTAGTCGTATGTAATGGTGGAAGCTGCTGCTGCTGCTGCTGATGATGATGATGATGCTGATCACGTTCTGACTCTGATGCTAAAAATGGTGGGCATGCGAAAGATTTCATAAGTTGATTATTCGTGGTTGCAGATTGGTACGGAGATTCATCAAGGGCGAAGGGAAACGTGATTCCTGAAGAAGATGAAGGAGGGCAAGGCACATTGAGAGAAGCAGAGGGCTGATGCAGGATCTGACTCTCCGGCCGATTTGAGATGGAAGCTTCATCAAAAACTGGCTTCCATGGTTGTCCCTCGAGCCTCGAGTCTGGACTTTCTCCGATTGGAGTACCATCAAAATCATTAGTGAATCTATCCATCCGATAAACAGAGACCTTTTAGGTGCTGTAAGCAGAGAAAGGAGATGGATGGAGAAGCTGATCAAAACGAACCAAGTCCAAGACTCGGAGGACCCAGCTTCAATGTAGTCAAAGAATATAGCAGGGAAAATAAAAGAAACCAAAATCGAATTTTGAAATATGGGTTCTGAAGATTTGGAGAGCCAATTCAATCAAATCAAGTACTCAGAGCAGAACCCGAAAGTAGGGAATGGAGAGATTTCTTGTTAGAGGCATCGAGGGAACAGGGGAGAGACTTATATAAACGCCGCATGAAAAGAAGCAAATAGGAACAAGTATCTGTAGTAATAATAGGCCAAGACGCTAAGTTGTGATCACGACATTTCAGACAGTCACTCTAAAATTTCACAAAATTTCTCCCTAGTTTTTTTAAATATTATTAAAAAAATATGATGCGCATACCTGAGATGATTTCCGTAACTTGGCTCCCAGTATTAAGTCATTAAAAAAATGAGAATCGTCTAGATACGGTGGTACTATGTTTTATGAGCCTGCACGTCGTTCTGAAAAAACGATATAAAATTATTTATTATATTCAAGTGTTCTTAAGTTGGATGAATAAACCTATGTACTTTGTGATGGCGTGCTCTGGCTCCCAAATGCATGCAATAACTGTGCAGTAATACCATTTTTTTTATTAAATTCTCTTTCACCCCCACTACAAGCAGCTAGAACGAAATATTAAGAAAAGGATCTCATAGTTTCTTTCTTCTTCTTCTTTTTTCACAAGATCTCCAAGTTTCAGAAGTAGCTTAATTAACAGTGACATCGACCAGGGGCTAAAAAGTTCATATACATGGCATCCTAATTAATCACTGGTTTGCCTTACATGAAGCATATTTACATACTAGAAGCTACTTATAAGATTGTTTGTCTGCAAGTAAATGAAAATTCTGAATAATTTGACAAAAGAAAATGGGTTAAGATACATTGTGCGTGTGTGTATGTGTTAGAAAACTTATATATTTTAAGGATAAAACTAAAGAAGTCGCTGGTCAAAAAAACAAAAAACTTAAGAAGTCACATTCTTTCACTTCCGAAGATTCACTTTCGGCAAATACAAGAAAGTGTGCGATGCTGCTCGTTAAGTCGGTGAGTCGGTGGACTATTTTCAACTATCTCGGCAGTACAAATATCCCATCATAACTATCACGTGCTATTTAATCACATTGGCCTGTTGGCCAAAAAAAATAAAAAATCACATTGGCCTCCTAATTAATTATTCATTGTCCTGTTTTAATGATTATCTTATATCTAAGTAATACAATTTATTTGTTTTAGGAATATTATTCACATTATTTTTTTTTTTGGAATTTATCGAATTCGCAAACCATGAGTTTTGGTTCAACACTTCAATAGATCCGTAGGCTTTCCTTCGAGTTGTATTTGAAGTCCCTTTAATTTTATATTTCTTTTTTCTCTATCTTTATACCTCCAATTATTTGAATTCCTATTAATAATATTTCCTCTAATCCGACATGCATATGTAATAAGTTTTTGGACATATCAGAATCAGACAGAAATTGTCGGTGCCCACAATTAGTATATGCATAGCGTCATTTTATCAAAATATGGGAAAATAATTTTTTTAATCTTTCAACTCTTAACTCATTTGTAATGCAATCTCTCAATTATAATTTTTTATAACTCAATTCTTTAATTATGATTTATCGCGATTCAATCACTTAACTTTTGATTCATTTATACCTTATCCTTTTTTCAATTGTTTTTAGATTATCTTCATCAAATAAGAAGGATGAAATAAATTAAATGCTCATATTTTGCTCTAAAATACCATCATCTTGTTCTTTAATGGGAGATCTAAGAAACATAAAAAAAAAAGAGAACTAATAAGAGTTAAAAGACTAAATTATAAATGAATTAAAATTTGAAGGATCGAGTTATAAAAGAGTCAAAAGTTAAGAGAATGAGTCATAGCAAGTCATAATTAAAGAATTGAATTATAAAAAGGTTAAAAATTAAAAGATTAAAAGATTAATTTTTTCTTAAAATATTTTAAAGTGCATAATAATAATTTGGCACATTCTATTGTACACCCCATGCAATGGTGCCATTATTTACTCTTGAAGTGATTTGCAACTATCTTTTAGAGTATTGTGACAAGAAAAAGGATCATCACACTCTCATCAGCTAAATATTAACATATTATTAGTACACTGTGAGAAGATTATCAATGCGGCTATCCTGTCGAAAAAATGCATTTCAATACGAACTTTTTCAGTCAATTTTGTTATAGCATTCTCTTTAACAGGCAAGTGAAACTGCTTGCTGGCAGGGTCGAATTCGAGAGCTATACCTTAAAGGATGAGCGTACCATGACTAAGCCAAAAGGTTTGGTCAATTTGTAGCATTTTGACAAAGTGGATATGTAAATGAGAATCTATGTACAAGATTCCCAAACAATTTAACACCACACCTAATCACCCATGCCATTGAAAAAATATAATTTTAGCTCCTTGTGCTTTGCTCGAACTTTACTATAAATTTTTGCATTTTTTAATGTTTTAGATTCTTATATTTTTATTTTTTTAATATTCTAGATCTCTATAATATCGCTCATAGAGGGATATAGAACACTAAAAAAAAGTATAGGGACCTAGAACACGTAAAAAAAAGTGTACGGACCTATAATAAAATTTGAGCAAAGTGTAAAGATTCAAATATATATTTTCCCATACTATTATGATATTATCTTATATATTGCGTAAAGATGTAAAGTGTATGTTTGATCCCTTAGTTTCATTTTTAGTACTTTAATTTCATTACTCCTTCATTCCAAAATTGTTCTTTTAGTTTTTTTTTTCTTGTTCCAAAACTGTTAATGTTTTAACATTTCAATATTGGATTTACTCCTTCACAAAATATTGATTAATTTCTTTTTTTCCAACTATACCTAATTTATTCAACTATCTATAGTTATATTTCATTATCTCTTCTTCTTACTTTTGAATGGGGATTACATGAGGGTATTTTAGTCCGCGTGGAGTAATATTTTACATTAATCAATGATTTATTAATCCATATGTAAAACCTTAAACAACGATAGATTTGGGATGGAGAGAATGTTAGGTGTTGCTTATCAACAAGTCAATTGCATGTTGCTTCAGTTGTCCAGGCAGGCATTCCATTCTAATCTGACTTCAAATTATAATTTGTTTAAGTCTTAGACTTATAATTTCTTTTTTGGTGAACAAACTTATGATTCTTTAATAAATTAATATTAATTATCGACACTAAGCATGTAACACATGAGTTAAAAATTATAATATTTTTTGGAAAAAATAATCTTTTAGTTCTTCAATTTTTAACTCATTTATAATTCAGTCCCTCAATTATAACTCGTTATAACTTAATTCCTTAACTTTTAATTCATCTATAACTTAATTCTTTAACTTTTATTTATGCTCTTTTTTATATTAATTTAAATTTCACATTAAAGAGCAAGAGAAGGATATTTTAAAGCAAGATATAAACATTTCTTTTATCCCTCTTATTTGATAAGGATAATCTCTTAAAAAAAACTTAAAAAATAAAGAATAAGTTATAAATAAGTCAAATGTTAAAAAATTAAGTCGCAATAAATCATAGTTGAAAATTGAGTTATAAGTGAATAAAAAATTTTTTCTGTTTTTTTTTTCCTTCTTATATTTAAGATATGACTTGTGAGGAGCATATTAAATAGCCAAAACGGCAAAACCCAACAAGGGAAATCAACACAATAATGCACAAATAAAACCATTTGAATGGGAAAATACAGAAAACTGGATATCGTACGCGTGCCCTATTCTGCTGATGTTGTTTCTAAAATATCCGAGGTGGTCACTTTGTTCTGGAGATGTTCTTTCTTGAGAGAGTTGAACTTGGCAGCTATATTGTCATAGTCTGGCAACTTGGGATGAACATGGTTGGGATATTCAGACGGACATGAATAAGTCCTCACCATCATGTCCCTGTGAGCTTTCTGGCGTTCTGGGGGCATCGTCGCAGCTCTTGCAAACGCTTCTGGTGTTCCATTCTTCTGCTTTTCTGTTTGATTGCAATCTGGGTACGTGAATACATTATACACTACTCTCTGAGGGACGGAAACCAATTTCATTCCCTTGTTTGATTCTTCATTCGAAACTGGTTTTTCTTCACTTTGTACAGGTCTTGTGACTCTGTCTGGATTCACTTGTAACGCTTCCAAACAGTCTCCATCATCATCATGAGCTGAGCAATAGCAGGGGTGGTCCAAGCTGCAGGCATTTCGTTTCATTTCTGAGGAATTATGCTGCTTCAGTATCTTGTGAGCGCAATCTGCTCGTCGAAATGCTTCTGTGAAATGCTTTTGGGGCTTTAAGCGGTAACCTGAGCAAGTCCTGTGAGAAGAGGTATTTCTTGATGGTTTATGATAATATATCAAGCAGCCAATATCCATTATGCATTGGTTTTCAAGTGATGCTGATCTTCTTCTTGATCTTTTCTCATGTACCTTCTTGCTCTTTCTGGAGCTCCTCCTGCTTGACTTGTCGCTTTCTGATCCCAGTTTACCTAAATCACTTTGATGATCAAAACGCAATCGACTTTTTTCTCTGAACTTGAATAGGCCTTGGTCATGAAAGGATCCATCTTCTGACACACAAAACTGAGATTCCTCTATGATCTTATCATATTCTACCAATTCTCTTACGCCTTTTAAACGAGGAAGTAGCTTGGCGAAGTTTCGCATTTTCTCCATCTTTTGTAAAGGAAAGCTCTGAATATAAGGGAGATATTTCTGAACAGTAGAAATTATTGCAGAAGCATCAGCTACGTTAGATTCTCGCAGAAAACAAGAACTAGTTGGCTTGAACAAGAACTTCTTGATAGGCGAATCAACACAAGTGATTTCTTTCTGGATCTCTTCAACCTCTGAAAAATGTATCTCGGGTCCTGCAATTTTAGCATCTATTGGGCAACCGTCTTCCTCAACTTGATATTCTTTGGTTTCCTTCTTCTGTGCAAAAGAGTTGACTATAAATCTAGCACCACTAAACAAGATAAACATATATAAAGATTAAATGTGAGGATGGATCTAGAGGAGTGAGCCGCCTTCTCTGTTTCATGTGTGTATTTACCTCTTCAACCTTTAATATGTAATCCCCCCCCCCCAACCCCTAAATAATATAAAGAATCATTTTCTTCTTCACAACACATATACAGTGGCTAACAGAAAATTACCTGCATTTGTTGCCAATCAGGGTAGTACTCAAGAGCCAAAAGCTCTGGGTGGAGGCAGTGGTCTCTAGCTATTTCATCAACTACTCTGTACTTGAGATCATCCGGCACAGACTTCAAAGAGAGGCTCTCTATTAACTGTGATTTTGAAACATCATTCACTATATAAATACACATTAATTGACCAATAAAGGCATCAAACTTCAGGGGAATTTTTCATTTTTTTTTTTTATCAATTGGGAAACCTGATTGTTTACAAGATTCCCAGGAAGTAGCTCCACAGCAGCAGTTGCAAACCTCTGGCCATAACGCTGTCCAAAGAGCTTCCTGATGACAAAAAGCTCAGGAACATCCCCAATCCTTGCGGATGCAAATATCAGGCTCGAAGCTGCTTCATTGATGTCGTTTGGACAGTCCCTGTTTTTGGCAAGTTAAAGAAGTTAAAATCATTGTCTTGAAAGAGAATCGAAGGAACCAGTTTGATCAATGTTTAACTGTGTAGCAAGTCGTACTTGTGCCTTCGGATGTAGGAGAGTTGGCTCAGGATAAATTCACAGAAGTGATCCAACAATTCATAAGCTGCTGCTAAAGTTTCATCTTTGATTAGCTGCTCCACCTGAAATCCATAATATTTTGCAAAGATTCATTGAATAAATAAGAAGAAGATCAAATTGCATGAAATCCGGAAACTACGCAACTTGGTTCAGTCAAAACCCACCTTCCAATCCAACATGAACTAAGCCATTATTGTTCTTGATAGAAAGATTTCCTTCTCTTATTTAAACAGAGGATATGACATGAGGGACTAGAGAGATAACGAACAAGCAACGATATAGCGTCGCCGACGCATGTAACACTTGCCGCGAAGCTTTAAACTTGACATTGAAGTTTCAATTTTTTCTGTATAATTTTATCTATGTTCATTAAATTCATTCGTGTCCGATGCATGTGTCATTAACATACCCGATTGACAGCAAAATCATGATGGTCACACTTTATAAGCTCAGCCACATCTTCCCGTGACTGCCTCCCTATTGCCTGCCTCTTGTTCTTGAGTAGCTTGAGCCTGCACCGAGCTCTTTTGATCACCTTTTTGCTGAAACGCAGTTAATCAATCATATACAAGTTATCAGAAGAGGCAGAAGATGAAGAATAATAAATCCGTCAAGTTTTCAACTTTTGTGATCAAGTTACCATTTTGATGCCTTGGACCACCCGAACAAGATGTGCAACATGCCTAAAATGAGACAGAGATCTGCGAGTTCATTGGGTACGACGTAAAACAATCGAGAATTATATTAAGCAATAGAGTTGGAGCTGGTTTAGTTTTGCAGAGAGGGAAATAAAAGAAAAAGGAAAGCTGAGAAGGCTAGGGATGAGGAAGAAGGAAGAATAACTGAAGCGACAAGACGGTTGAGTGGAGGGCTGTGGAGGAGAGTGGGGCTGAAAGAGGGTCCCTATGAAGAAGGAGACAGTTGTGGTCTCGTTGAAAAACTTCCCCACTTCACCAGTTCCTTTGTGCACTTGTCGTCTTCCTATTAAACCTACTTTGAGATTGCAAGAACAATGTGGTTCGGATAAGATTATTCTCCCAGAAAAGAATTTCATGTGAGATTAAGTTACTACAATTTTATGTTTTGATTCTGTTATTTTTGGTAATAAAGGGTTATGTTTTTTTCCTAATAAAAATATAAACATCATGAAAAAAAAATCCCAATTTGATGTCTCATTCTTAGTATAGATCTGGTAAGATTATCAAATTAACGAGCCTTTTTTATTTTCAATTTTGCAGAGACTTTTTGGGAAATCAATGAAAACCGAAAAGGTCTAAAAGGGATCGGAGGCAAGGCTAGACGAGGAAGCTGATTTAATGGCCAATAGATTAATTAAAGTAATTGATTATATTTTGTGGTAATTAAGGCGCTCGAAGATAATGATGACCACTGTGAATCCACTACGTGGTTAATTGTTCAATGGACTGATGATAATTATTGAATTGGTGAATTGTTTAGCCAATAAGTTCAGCACAAAGAACCACTCATTTATTAAAGTAATTAAACCAACTTAAATTAAATCTCTTCCATGGAGCTCTAAAATATTAAAACATAAATTATAACGAAGCTTACTTATCGATATATCTTAAATAGTATTCATATTCATATTAATTAGGGGGAAAAGTAGCTTACTCTTAAAATTTCGGTTGGTTAGTTGAACTAAGAAAAAGAAACAGATCAACAAGCAGGCTTTAGCGAAGATTAGGCCCACGAGAGATCTGAGTCATTTGCACAGATCCTTAAACAGCAAGCGCTGACAAACCAGCTATGCTTTGCAAAGTTCTCTTTTTGGCCAGAGACGACACTGACATGATGGAAGCGTGACTCTATCTCTGTTCACTCTCTTTCGTCGTGTAGCCTTAAAATACTAGAGAAAGAAAACGAGAGGCTTCAGTGGTGTTGGTATTTTTCGTCAAAGAAACTGGTAATCAAACCCCCACTTCGTCCACCTCTCATGTCACGTTCTCATACCTTCCTCTCTGTTATAAACATGTAATTCTGGGTTGGCCACCCAACTCATGTTCCGGTTCCAGTTTAGCTAAGTGGGGTCCTTAACCGTGGACATACTAGAATACTCGAGCGTGATTTCGAAAGCTAGCACGAACCCAGGTCATTCACTCACTCTCAAACTCCCTTTTTTAATCGTGTCATTCTCGATTAACACGTGAGAAAGTACACTTATTAGTTCACAATAACCCGACAATCACCGACTTTTTTAATCCCACGAAGCATCATATGATGCATCGATGCTGTTCTTCTCTGAATTAAATGCACTCTAGGTGGTGGTTGTTATGCTTGTGAGAATGTTGTGTTGGGTAGTTTTGTTTTGCGGGCTATGCTTGATGACTTAATAAAACTAATGGATTGGATGAGGAACAAGGTTTGTCAGAGCAGAATATTTTTAAGGTTGCAGAGTTATTTATTCAGATGGATCCTTGCATAGCAAGGCTTCCCTGTAATTGCCCTCATAAATAAGTGGGACAGAAAACTGAGCTAGTTTAGAAGAATATTGTGTCGCGTAATTAGTCATCCTAGAGTTCACTGGTATTGCCGAGTAAATATACTTGCATGTCTTTAAATTCCCGATAGAGATGTCACATATTTAATTTTGTGAACTGAATCTCTTTCAATGATTTTGCTTCCTGTATCTGTGCTTTGAAGCTTTGAACAGTGACTTGGTGGGTGGATGGTCTTAATAAAAGATTTTGTCTTTGTTTTCATGGGGAACCATGTTTTTCAAAACATACACATTGAGGGAAAATTTTTGCCTTTTTGCCAGTGGAAGAACATCAACTTTATAATTCCTCATCAAGGACTCAAAAAACTGTGTTCAAGTTCCAGTAATTGAATTGTGAAACTTATCGAGTTATTGTATTGCTTGTTAATTATGCAGTCAATAAACTCATGGGAGCACAATTTCTGACTTTGGTTTTTCTCAGGCTTTCATTTAAATTCTTCTCGACCAAACACTAGAACTAGCACCTAGTGATTATATGAGTTCTTGATTGTTAGCACCTAGTGATTATATGAGTTCTTGATTGCATTTGTTGCTAGGGTTTGCATTTCACGAGTCCCTTAGAAGTTATCTTGAATCATCACAAATTCACAATGATGCACCACCTCAAGTGGTACCTGCTGCAACTGCATTACTGTCTGGATTGAAGATCTCTCATCTCACAAGCTTCTACAGTTGTGTGACTTGAATTCACTCTCTCAACTTGTTTAGATTTACAACTTAAACCTTACCAGGTGTCTGAAACTCTTAAACTGACAATTAGTGTAATAAATTAGCTTAATGTCATTGTAGACCTGGACTATGAAAAGGGCACTAATGGGCCATTTACATTGGCCTTGGCAGAAGGGATGAGTAGGGAAGAACTGAAGACATATTGATGGAGAAAATGCTGACAAAAGTGGATGAATTTTGTGAAGCTTCCCTCTTCCTTAGTGTCTCTCTTCTTCCCTCTAGCCATGAACCCATGATTGTTGAATTTCTCTCATCTTACCTTCTGTGACTTCTTTCCTTTCCTTCTTGTACTCTATGGCTGCTCTATCCTTTATGCTTCCTTATTTCTATCATTATGAAGCTCTATGATCTTTCCTTCGAAGCTATCAAATGTAATTGGATTTGGAATTGTTATTGAGCATAGTTGAATTGTGTTTTATCATTGAGTAAGTTTTAGAGTTCATTACAATTAGCAAGATAGAAATTTGCCTCGATTTGGATAGGTAGGATGTTTAATTTAACGAAAGAGACAATCATTGTTTAATAATCAGTGGTGATTCTGTCATAATTAAGATAAGATAGACCTCACACATCATCATATTCAGATGAAAATGAATTTCTCAAGAGATGTCCTGTAATAAATCGGTCGTAGTATAGTAATTTGTAACTAAAAAATGAATTTGATGTTCTCTATTTTTTGTCCCTCATTTCTCTGCATGAGTCTGCCATTTTAGGATTCCCATCGTCTCAGCGTTTATTAGATACGGCTACTTCTGTTCCAATCATCGTAACCTCTCTTTATAGCTGAAGAAGAAGAAGAAGACTCATTAATTCTCAATGTGAAAGCGAAAAGCTTGAATTTCTTCTTCTGTTCTTTAAATGTAACGAGACTCTCGGTAACAAGAAAAACATTCATTCTTCTTCTCCATATTCAAAATTTGATGTTACAGCGTTAATCTTCTGACCTGGATGCAAATTGTCCACGGTCAATTTGAATTTGACAACAATTGAGATTTCCTTCAAACGTGTGCTGTGGATCACGATCGTCAAGGGAACGTTCACTTTGACATCCAAAGGAATCTTCTTTTCCTTCTGATCATGCATCAAGTCTTGTTGAGTCTGGGAGTCAATAGTACTCTGACCTTTCAGCCTCACATTCATTATGGAGATGTTCTTTGGAGGTTGTTGGAAACTCGAGATTTGTCCACTACAGAGGTGGTTATCGGAATACATTATTATCACCGAATTGTTGTCCCCATATTTTAGGGCAATCTGTTTGTTAGGATTCTGTGCTTTTAAAATGACATTGAGTTCAGTGTAGACCTTAGTCCCGTTGGGGATATCGAATTTCTTGACGTTGACATAATCAACCATGTAGATAGGAAGTTGAGGGTTCAAGAAGAAGACGAGAGAACCGAGGGTGGCATAAAAGAGGAAGAGGAGGAAGAAGAAGACGCAATAGCAGCAACAGAAGCACTTCATACAACTGTACTCACCGGGATGGTGGTCGAGTTGATGGTAACGAGGGACATTACGGTGGCTAGAAGGAGGAGTAGGCAAACCATCAGGGTCAAGAACAGCGTATCTTAGAGGGGCACCCATGGTGGTGGATGCCGATGAGTGGATGGATGACCAATGATAGCGGCTTCTATAGAGAGCACCTCAGAAGTAGCTGGCGGCGACAAATCAAGGATGATTACCCTTTTCTCACCTGGGAATGCTAAGAATGCATTCTCATGAACAATGAAGAAAGTCTTTTTTTTTGGGTCATTTCTTCCTTTTCTTGATCAAAGATGTTGCTTTTGAAGGGGAACGAAGTAGTTGCTCTACTTTGAGAAAGTTAATGGCTGAAGATTTTGCTGCGTATGGATGGTCATATAGCCTGACGGTTGTCCAAACTAGAATTTGGGGGACTCATTGTCTTCGCGATAACTCATTCTTATTTTAAGCATAGCCCATATGGTTGAAATTTTTCATTTCTAAATATATTTTTTATATAGAAAAATCACAATGAAAGGCCTATGAAGCATTTTATTTATAAAAAAAGATTAAATGATTTTGAATTTACTCTGCAAGATTAAAGGATTAAATTGTTATTTAATTTTAATGTGAAAAGATAAACTTACTTTGTACTCTTTTTTTAACAAAAAAAAAAACTCTTCATTGTCGCCAGTTGTTAGAGCTCCGATGTTGATGGCTAGACCACCTACTAAACTGGCCATCGCAGCTTTAGCGCCGATGGCCAAACTGACCAATGAGGGAGTCAGGAAGGGGTTTGAATCTACACCCTTTTAGCTACTAAAAAGATAGTTAGCCATTAGATCAATAAAGTAAAAATAAAGTTAAAAATATATATAAAGATTTATATTATATAATTGAAAGAAATTGTTAGCCTAATGATTAACTATTCTTTTGATGGCTAAGGGAATATGCAGTCAAACCACCCGATCACTTTAAAAAAATTTAATTTGTCTCTCTCACTAATCCAATGATTGGTATCGAAGCTTCAATGGTTGGTTTGATGGTCGGTGACAGTAAAGAGGTTTTTTAAAAAAGTGAGAAATAGTTTTGTCTTTTCTCATTAAAATTTAATCACAATTTCACCCTTTGATTCTGCAGAGCAGCAAAGTAAATTTAGAAACATTTGATCTTTATTTGTAAATGAAATGTTCCAGAAGTCTTTCACTGTACTTTTTCCCTTTTATATTCTAGTAATGGGAGGGTTTGAAATATTTATCTCCACCTTGATGGCCCTGTATATACACTCACCAAAACCTGCTCAACCAAGCTATCATGTGCCAAAACTTAAATTTTGATCATTATCTATGTGTCACCATATTACCATTCTTTTATCTCTAGCACTAACATTCATTTGTAGAACCAGAGCTTAGTGAGATCCAACAGTCCAACACTCAAGTCAATTTTCCTGCCCTCCAATGTCCTCTCCTATTTTGTAGGGTGTTAGAAAAACAGGGCAGTTTGGGATACAATTTTAGATTATGGTCCCCTAGACCTTCTAGTTAGATTTTTCTTATTATTATTTTATTAGCTTAGTGAACTACAATTTCATAAGTTTGATGTAACTGTTTTAAATTGCAAATCATATATTCTTTTCGTACAGGTAATAGTAATTGTTTTTTTTATTGTATCTAATTTTTTTAACATTCAATTTTTTCTTGAAAAACGTGAACAATTTAAAAAAAATAAATGCGAATAAAGAGTGGAAGAATAAAAAGTTATATGAAATAAAAAACAACAACATATTTTATGATTTATGAATATGCGATATTCAATACATTTTTGTGTTCAATTCATAATATTCTGATATGTTATAATTGCATTAACAATTAATAATGACCATAAATTTATTGTGCAAGGGAAAAACTGTAAAAGCAATGAGTATCAATGATTTCAGAAGCGGTGGCCAAGGCCAATTTGAAATTCGCAGTCGCTTTTCACTTTTATGGGAATGCAAAGTATCACTGACGTCGCAGCCACATGATGCAAAGCGAAGTCAGGAAAAGGATGCACAACCGCGTGAGCCGTGTTCAACAAAACACCCTTATTCAACCATTAGGATCGCTTTTAAATTTGACCCGATTGACTCTGACAGTTTTAAGCAAACTGAATTTAACTCAGAAACTGAAGCGGCTTACTCCCAGTTCAAAGCAAAAAAACAAAATAAAAAGTAATTTAAGTTAAGTTGTTTAAATTCATAATTTTTTTAATTCTTTTTTTTAATTTTTAATTTTTCTTTCACAGTGCAAACTTAATTTTTGATTTCTCCTTTTACCTTTACCTCCAATTCTAACAATTTAATCTTTGATATTGAAATTAGAGACTTGTGAGTTGTGACGTAATAATATGCTTTCAGTTCCAATAATTTAGACATATGGCCTTTGATGTTGAAATTTTAAATATCATTAATAAATTAATATTTTATTTATATATTTATGTATATAAATATTAATTTTATTTAATTTTTATGCTACAATTCGACTCTCGGCTTAATTTGTTGAAGTATAAGAACCACGACTTGTTGTTCTTTCTAATTCAACGTCCAATTCGGATTTCAAATAATTGCGTGGAATTTCAGTTTCAGGCTAAGGTCGTGTGTTTTACTAAAACGATGTTATACGCTTTACCATAACAATGAACTTGGTTCGGTGCTTAGGTTTCCGTCGTTTTCCTCCCTTCACTGCAGAATCCCGTTATGCTATTTCCGTCATTCAATTTCAAACCAGTCTGCGCAAAACTTTACTGAAATTATTCACCTTCAAAAAAATTTCAAGTTGCCTTGCTTCAGTAATTCTTGCGATCTGAATTGCCTTACGATTGCTAGCTTGCTGCCCCAATCACACAAGGTACTGTATTCCGGGATCATCCACCAAAGAAACTTTGAAGGTAACATCGGATTAGTATTTAATATAAGCATTATCACTATAAATATATACACATAATTGAAATTCGAAACCACCCTCTAAACTACTAATTAACTGCTTGCTTATTACGGTCATAAAGCCACAGAAATGAAGTGATTTCCCAGAGAAGATGAACTATCAAGCAAGAGGGTGATTCTGAAGACAACTAATTTAACTCCATAACTAAAAACTCAAGAAAACTGCGAGCCTGCAGCATCAATCGCAGTACATGAACTGCCGCGCTGCGTCTGATAAAAGCAATCAGGGCCAGAAAGTTTTGGTGTTGGAGGAAGCTGGGGAGGTGGCAGAGATGGCGGACTTAGAATTGCAGGATCTGAAAGAACCAGTTCGCATGAACACAAGAACAGAGGTTACCATTTTCTTAACCTTAACAGCGACCTTCTTGAGCTTAGGAGGCGAAGATGATGAAGAAGAAGTGAGTTTGGAATCTGCAGGGAAATCTTGGGAGAAGGAACTTAACCTGTAGGTGGTGAGAAAGATTTGCCTTTGCTTGGCTCTCCTGCGTCTGTAGCTGACGGACTTGAGGCCCAGAGGCTCGTATCTATACCGGCGGCTAAACGTCATCGTGCCGTTCCGGACAAGCGTCGTCATTCCTGTTTGCTCCCAACTCACGCACACACCCTCTCATCCCAAAACCTATATTTTGGTCCTCTTTTATATTTCACCTTCTTCTTTCCCTTCCACTATCTCACTTTTTTTTGCCCTCTCTTTTCTTGTGTGGCCAGTTTTTTTCATTGGACTGTATTAAAAATTAAGTCGTTCGTTGACCGTTGACCGTTGATTCTTCGCTTCCTTCCCTGGCGGGCTCTTCTTTTCACTCGTAAATTTTCAGTGTTCAGATAGTAACGTTATAGCGACAATCTAGTGAATTACACTCAAGAGACTTTGTTAAATTAGTATGGAGTATGAATACCCACATGTTTAAAAAGTGAAAATGGGTTGTTGTACTATAAACATTAAAACTAATATATAACTGAATATTGTCACTTCCATGACTTGAACATAATAATAATCTGTTATAATATATTTTTTTGGTTTTGCGCATGGATGATGATTCATCATATATATATATATATATATTTGATTCAATTTTAAACCACTGTTTTTTTGTTTTTTTGTTTGTGAGAGAGAGAGAGAGAGAGAGAGAGAGTGGCCGCATTAACCAAAATGGACGGTGTCAAGATGTCATATGCTAATTGATTAAAATATATTCGTCTGGTATGATGACGACATTGAATATGTATCCTATTTTGGCTTTGGAAGAGGCCAGGGGATGTGTTCAGGTGTATTTGGGCAGGTAATTGTTTAAGTTTATTGTTTTATCTATCCAAATTTGTAATCTCCAAATGTACACAAATTGATAAAAAAAGAGTTGCGAGAGAGAGAGAGTGTGTTAATATACTTCTATTTTTAATTGTATGATTATGTTTGGATCTGATTGTCCGTAATAAAATTCTATCTGGAAAACAGTTTTTATCATAACAAGGTGAAATAATAGCATATTTTATCGCAATTTGTTCCGCAACAATTACATAATTATTAAGCTGACACATGATGTTAATTTTTAGCATAAAATATAATTTTTGTTTTAACATGAAGTAACATTAAATTAAATATATTTACTATTTAAGACATGCATACTGTGTGAAAATTGAAGTTTAAAATATTAATTGTACTATGCTACAAGAGCTAAATAGAATTCTACGAATACAAAACAAATCATATATATCAAATGCAACTTATTGTAGACGTACTTAATACAGACAAGGTTGACATTTGACAATAAAGTAATTTATGAATTAGAGGCTTCCATCGACATTGGCGTGGCACAATGAATTGGGAATTCGAGAAAAGCTGACTCCTCGATAAAAAATGGTGGGTAGAGGAAGTTTCTGTGCGTGTCGCACTTGTGGATTATTGACTTATTCAAAATTGTGTACCATTTTCTTTACTCCAGACAGTAAATTAATATTCTTTCTGGAAGAGCGCTTCATTAAAAAATGTATATCTTTCCCATACTATTAAAAAAATATAAATTAACAAAAAAAATTAGTGAATGATCGTTTATTATTCTCTCAAATATCAAATCAGCTAGAAAATTAGTGAAGGATATTAATTTTATAGCTTGACTTAATATTAACGAGGAAAATAGTAAGGGAATGTCAATCCCTCTCTAAAATAAAGGAATCAATAAAAAAAATAGTGAGAGACTATTTAATGAAGCAAAAAAGACAAACCCAGATAAAAGGCCCAAGAACCAAAACAAGTCCAAGTCTGGTTTATTCACAAGTAAGAGCAAATGCATTGTATTAAGACCCATACATTTTTAGGACTATGTTAGTTATCATTTCATTTATTCTTTATTGTTTATTATTCTTGCTGGAAAGCATGACCGGTAACAACTTTCTGTATATATAATGAGTGGCTGCTCCTCTTGTCATTATCAAGAGTGAGCCTTATAACAAAAAACACGATTTGGTATCAGAGTAGTGAGTGAGTGCCTTCGCCATGTCCACTGTCCTAATTCTTGTTACAATGTCCTCTCCACTTTACACATCGCTTTCTTCATCCACAGCATCCTTGTTTTCTTCTTCATCAACATCAATGGCTTAACACCAGCACTTTTCCTCCATAAAACTTCATTCACACGATTGATACACACACAGTTGTTTAGACAAAAACAGTTCCTCTGCTAAGTAGCCTTAATCAAGCAGGATCGATCAAGTTGGACTGTTCCAACTTGATCTTCTAGCATAACTTTATTTCCTTAGTACTCTAAGGTCATTGCCTCGAGGGATTTATGATAGGGTTGAATCCCAGTTTCCCTGAATTCATACCACAAGGAGATGTTATTATTGTTAATCCTGAGTTTGCAGATTGGCACTCGACTGATCAACTTATTTATGGTTGGATTCTTGGCACCTTGACAGCTGAGATTGCATCTCAAGTTCTTCATTGTTGCATGTCTGCACAAATTTGGCATGGTGTTTCAAATCTAGTTTGGGAGAACAGTCGATAGCATTTAGTTTTTGACCTAATAATTTTTCTGGTAAGTCTTCTCAGGCAATCATCCTCCATAGCACAATAGACGAGGTAGAGGAGGATGTGGCAAATCTCATTGTTGTAATAATGGTAATAAACCTGTCTGCCAACTCTATAGACGAACAGGACATTAGGTTGAAGATTGTTTCTATCATTTTGATAGAAACTTTATGCCACGATCCCACACTAACAGTGATTCGTCTACTACATACTATGCTACCATTAAGACAGTGCAGGATCCTGCTTGGTATCTTGATAGTAGTGCTTCTAATCATGTAACCAATCAAACAATTAATGTGTCAGGTCCACAGGCTACGACAGGTAAATTAACAGTATGAAATGGTATTGGACTGAATATTTGTGGTCATACTCTAGGGTATTTGTCTTGTTCACCTCATGAAAAATTGTTATTAAAAGATGTTTTAATTGTACCTTCTATTAAGAAGAATTTACTCAGTGTATTTGAATTAGTTATGGATAATGACGTGCTAATTGAGTTTTACTCAGTGTATCTGAATTAGTTATGTTCTAATTGATTTTGATCTGACAACGGGAAAGGTGTTGCTTAGGGGTGAACGCAAGGATGGATTATACAGAATCAACGTAGACCTAGAGTTACAGTTGCAGTTTGATTGTGAAAATAAAACAAAACCAGTTGTTTATCTTGTTGCCTTAAATACTTAGCGTAGGAGATTAGCTCATGCTTCTTGTAGGACTGTTAAGGAAGTTTTGAAACATTGTAATATATCCTTAAACAATAATACTACCTTTGAATTTTGCAATGCTTGTCAGTATGGAAAATCACATAAACTTTCCTTTTCGATGTTCGAGTCTCAATCTAAAGCACCACTGGAATTGATTTTTATAGATGTTTGGGGAGTTGCACCAGTTCAATCAAAATCTGGTTTTAAATGCTATATCATTTTGTAGATGATTACAGTCGATTTACTTGGCTTTTTCCTTTGCTTTCTAAAGGAGAAGCTCTTTCAGCTTTTATTCAATTTAAGAAATTAGTGAAAAATTAATTTGATAAAAAGATTAAGGTCCTGCAAAGTGACTGGGGTGAAAAGTTTTATAGTTTTACAAATATTCTTGAGGAATTTGGGATCTTATTTCATCACCCCTGTCCTCATACTTCAGAGTAGAATGGAATGTTAAGAGAAGACATCGATATATTGTCGAGGCAGGTTTGAGCATGCGAGCTCAGGCATCTATACCTTTACATTTTATGAGGGAATCTTTTATGAATGCTATTTATGTGTTCAATAGGTTGACTATACCAATTTTGAATAATATTTCACCCTTTGAAGTACTTTTTAGCTCTAAGCCCAATTATAGTGGCTTTAAAATTTTTAGTTGCGCCTGCTTTCCTTGTTTACGACCATATAATCATCACAAACTAGAATTTCACAGTGAAAGGTGTACGTATATGGGACCTAGTCCAGCACATAAAGGATAAAAGTGCATGAACTCCTCTAGCCGTATTTTCATCTCTCATCATGTTATATTTAATGAGAATGATTTCCTATTTGGAGGATTCGACTCAACCAATGCTCCTTTAACATTTCCTATTCATTCTTAGGAACCTAATAGTATCCTCTGTTTTGATATTTCTATAGCTGCAACTCGTGCATGTGAAGTCTCACGTCCTGAGGTTGATGACGATGATGATGGTGTGTCCCTATTAACTCGTGTGATGCCGTCTCATACTGATAATTCAATTGTTGAAGGCTCCTTAGTTTCACATATGACGTCGTCGCCTGCTAATGCTAATGGTCCATTTATTGAAACCTCACACGGCTCCAGTCCATCTCATGCATTTCCAAGCCCAAGTTTAGTTCCTCAGTCATCACCTCTTACAGACTTTGATAAATCAACCTAATTAGATACTTCAATACAAATGAGTCCAACCTCCTCTTCTACCACAAGTGCCCAACCTCTTCCAGTTAGACCTCATGTTCCTGTTGAAAATGTTCATCACATGGTCACACGAGCCAAAGTTGGTATCATTAAACCCAAAACACCATTCATTAGCCTGGTGCAATGTGATCCTTATTGTTTACAAATCGAGCCACAATCTGTCACTTATGCTCTTTCTCTTACTTATTAGAAGAGTGCTATGGAAGCTGAGTTTTCTGTTTTGATAATAAATCATACATGAGATCTCATACCCTCTCATCCTTCTTATAATGTGGTTGGCTGTCAGTAGGTATTCAAACTAAATAATTCAGTTGATCGCCACAAAGCTTGTCTTGTAGCTAAAAGGTATCTGCAAGAACCTAGTGTGGATTATGGGAAAACTTATAGTCCTATGATTAAACCTTCAATAGCTCATGTCATTCTTCATCTTGCTACCTCTCACAATTGGTCCGTGCATTAACTTGCTATTAACAATGCTTTCTTAAATAGTTACCTTACTGAAACTGTCTATATGGCACAACCAGAGGGATTTGTTGATGTTCATCATCCTCATTATGTTTGTCACTTGCGGAAGGCATTATATGTGTTAAAGCAAGCTCCTCGTGCCTAGTTTGATCGGCTACAATCAACACTGCTTTCTTGAAAATTTGTTAACAGTAAGAGTGATACCTCTTTGTTTTATTTTTTAAATGCTAAACAGATTATTCTCATTCTCATTTATGTTGATGATATTTTTGTCATGGATAGCCATCTTCAAAGTATGCAGCAATTTGTTCAAAATTAAATGATTTATTCTCTCTCAAAGATCTTAGTCTACTTTACTATTTTCTCGGATTAGAAGTTACACAAGATCATACTAGTTTTTATCTGAGTCGAGCAAAATATATAAGTGATTTACTTGACAAGTTGAGTCTGGGAAATCTCTCTACCTGCAAAACACCAATAACTACTGGACACACTCTTTTCAAATATGACAGTGTTGATCTGACTGAAGAAAATGGTAGATCCTGTGGGCAGATTGTTAGGGCTATACAGTATTTAAGCAATACCAAACCTGATCTTGCTTTTGTTGTCAGCAAGCTGAGTCAATTTCTATCAAAACCAACATTTCATCATTGGCAGGCACTCAAACATTTGCTAAGGTATCTACAAAGTATACTCAATATGAGCTTGTGCATTAAAAGGTCAGAGTTCCTTGACTTTGTTACTTATTCCAATGCTAACTGGGCCTCTTGTCTTGATGATCGACATTCAACTAGTGGATATTTTGTTTTTTATGGTGATACACTAGTTTCATGGTCTTTCGAGAAATAATATGTTGTAGCTAGATCTAGTGCTGAGTCTGAATACTGATCTTTAGCTCACACCTCAGCTGAGTTATTATGGCTTCGTTCTTTAATGTCTGAACTTGGCTTGCATTCCAAACATCCTTCCATAATCTGGTGTGATAACATCAGTATTGCCTCTCTGGCATCTAACCCGATCTTTCATGCTCGCACTAAGCATATTAAGATTGATACCCATTTTGTTCGTGATCTTGTTCTGTCCAAGCAAATATTAATTCATTTTGTGCCTACTACATATCAGTTGGCTAATATGATGACAAAATTGCTATCATCAGCTTGCTTTGTTTCTCTTAGAGACAAACTTGGACTCACAGTTGTGGTCTCTCGTTTGAGGGGGAATAATGAAGCAAAGAAGACAAACCCAGATAAGGCCGATACATTTTTAAGGCTGTGTTACTTATCATTTCTTTTATTCTTTATTATTTATTATTCTTGCTAGAAAGCATGACCTCTAACAACTTTTCATATATATAATGAGTGGCTGCTCCTCTTGTCATTATCAAGAGTGAGCCTTGTAACAAAAACTGTAATTCTATCAATCTCTCTTTAAAATAAAACAACCAGCGAGGAAAATAGCGAGGGACTACTAATCCCTCTCTAAAATAAGAGAATTAATAAGGAAAATAGTGAGGGATTGTCAATCCCTTTCTAAAATAAAATAATTAATGAAGAATTCTATCCTTAGCTAATTACTGCAAAAAAATTAACTTTTGGCAATGAATTTTAATTATATGTTTAATTGTTTTTGTTTAAAAATTAACTAAAATATTCATAATAAAATTATTTAATATTTAATATATTCTTTATTTTAAGTTGATTTTCATTAATGAAATAATATTTTATTAAAATATAATGTAAAGAATAATTTAAATAAAATATAAATATTTTTAACACATTAATAATTGAAAATAAAATTTAATATGTATATATGTGTGTATTTTTATAATATATTATTTGATAAAATATAGTTAAATAATATATATTTAATTTTTCATATAATAACTACAGGTGCCTTTCAATTCAACTGGCAAATAAGGAGAACATAAGGCTTGAAAGGTATGAGGTCAAAGATTCAAGTCTTGGGTTTGGCATAAATATAATGAATATATCATATGATAAGGAGCAAGTGACATGGCATAAGGTGGACAATAATATGTCATGAGTTGTCACACATGTGGCGGGTGATGGGGCACAAGATGGTAGTAGCTAACATGACGGTTGATGAAGCATGAGGTTGTTGGTGACATGTCACAAGTTAACGCACACATGACAAGCGATGTGGCATCACCATTTTTAAATAAAAGCATATTTAGCGAGGAATTAGTGAGGCACTAATCCCTTACTAAATTACCAAATTTTGAATAATATTAGCGAGGGATTTAGTGATGAATTCAATCCCTTGCTAAATTTAGTGAGCCCTTTTTAGCTATGAATTTAGCGAGAGACAAAATTTCTAACTCAAACACAATTTAGTTAGAAAAAATAGCATCAATTTAATTTTTCCAGTAATATCATTAGTTAAATTATTGTCATTATAAAATGTGTATATTGGCCACTGTGGCACACTATAAAATCAAAACTCAAGAACTAGGTCAAGTTAGCATTAACAATAGATATTCTTGTCAAGTAACCAAGAGTCTAAATTCTAGCTCTTTTATGTGTAAGAACTTAATTAATTGAAAGGGGTTTGTCCTTTATTATGACAAGTAACTTAAGGCTTGGTTTGAATTGAGGGAAAAGTAGGAAGAAAATATGAAAGGAAAAAAAAAAGTAATTTCAAAAATAACTATTTTTATAATTTTTTCTTAATTTTTTACTCTCTGTTTTTCTTTCCATTCAAATAAATGGAAAGAGATAATTTCTAATGTCAATTCACGCGCCAAAAACAAAAACACACACACGCGAGGAAAGAATCGAGGTTAGTGGAATAGAATGAAGGACCATTTGTTCATATCCAATCTACCGTTGAAAAGGACCCACTAAAATACTGGAATGGGCCTACTGGGCCACAAAGGACATGATTGGGTGGTATGGACCAATCGTTTCTCTTTTTTGGGTAGGCCGCGCCAAGAACCAAAAGTCAAAATACTAAAAGTTTAACTTGAAATGAATTCAACAACACTAAGTTAAACAGTATAAACAGTAATAAAGATTCTCAAATGGCGCCAGGAAAACCATAAAGTATTTGGTAATTTTATTTAACACGCGCCATCTTGTGAGTTATATTTATCCTAACAAACCACGCACCGCATGAACAAAAAGATAAAGATTCGGAAGCAGCAAACGAAAAGGGCTTATTAATGAGAGTCACGTCAGAACTCAGAACAAGGGAAGCTATTTATGATCCATTGATGAGTACAAAAACAAAGAGCAAGGCCGGGCTTGGCGTGTGCATTTATGTATACCATGCTACATAACCAAGCTGAGTGAGTGCTCACGAAAAAGAAGCACCCTCAACACTCGTTCTCTTTTAATTCTCTGCTTCTTCCACGGCACAACGCCACCTTCAGTCCTGTGATACTTGCTGTGCATATAGATGACCAAACACTCTTTCATGTGAAACTCTCTTATCACTCTTCTCACTTTGCCTGTGAACCAGCTCTCTCTTTCCCAGACTCCTATAAATATATCATCTACGCTTTATACATCCAATAGTCTCAACAAAAACGCTCATAAGAATTACAAGAGCATCACGTACAATGAAGATCTCTGCAGTTTTTCTTCTCCTGCTTTTTGTTCCGCTCCTCATCTCAGCAAGGCACATAATTCCCAGCTCACTGAATCCGCGTAAGTCTTCCATTTCACTTCATCTCCAGTTTGATTTGTTCGTTAATTCGTCCTCCGACTTCAAGTGCATGCATGCATGTTTCATACATATTCGAATCATCGGTTAGGTAGGTTTATGTACTTTCTTTTAAGATGTGCAGTGTGGTTTATTTCATGCAGAGGGAAAGACATTATTGTCAGATTCAGAGGGAAGAAGAGAGATGAAGGAGGACATGATGAGAGTAGAGACGAGGAAGGTAAGAAAGAGAGGAGAGACAGTGGAAGAAGTAGCAGGGTCGAGGTTGCCGGATTGCTCTCACGCGTGCGGCTCCTGTACGCCCTGCAGGCTAGTCATGGTCAGCTTCGTGTGCGCCACGCTTGAAGAGGCCGAGACATGTCCCATGGCCTACAAGTGCATGTGTCATGACAAGTCCTACCCTGTCCCTTAGATTCACTTTGAATACATCGCTCTCTACCTTACTAATTAATGTTTGTTCATTTGCTTTGTCTTTACCAAACTTTGCAACCTAATCAGATATATATCAACTTTTTCTTGTTGAGAAACATATACTGTGCCCGTGCGTGACTTGTAATGCCCCCATTTTCTTAAATTATTATACAAACAAAAAATATTACATATACTGATATAGTTGGAAATTAACATATATAACGCAATTACCTTTGTTTATCATTCCATGCCAATGTATAAAAGAATTCCCTTTTATTTTTGGGAGCAAAAACCAATGCAAAAGAATTCGATGGCACATGGGAGACAGAAAGAATAACAATAATAAGAAAAAGTCCACATTACTGGATATCCCGTAGTCAGTAATGGATCGTCACTGACTGTGCGTGTGCTGTGGAGCATATTTGCTCTGCCTAGCTAAGGGCTAAAGTATAAGAATTAGGGAAAATTACATTTAAATTTTACTTAACACAGATAATTACTTTCAAATATATTGACAATTAAGCTTAAAAAAATTAAAGTATTCATTTAATTTTTTAATTTGACACGATATTTTATTTTAATTCTTAAATTTTATAAAATATTTTTTTAATACCTTTAACCCCGACATTATTAGTTTTATCTTAATAAATTTATACATTAAATTTTTAAATATTAATAAAATATTATCAGACATATTAAGTTTAATTTTTTAAAATAATAATGATTAATATAAAAAAGTTATTTAAAAGTAATGATGGTATCGTTAAATGACTAAAAATATATTTTTTAAAATTAAATGATTAAATTTAAATTTTATATAAAGTTAAAGAATTAAAATATATTTTAACACTTAAAAAAATGATAACATAATTAATTATTAATAAATTTAAGAGTAATTAATTATATGGAGTAAAATTTTAAAATAATTCTCCTAGAGAATTAAGTGCTCATCATCTGCCACCCCACACAGGATCCGGCAAACCCCAATTTCAGGAACAGACAACGAGATTTTACTATTATGTTGACTGTGCTGACACGCCAATAATTTCCTTTAATGTGAGGGAATAATCAGAGATCGTTCAACTTTCGTTACTTGTTTCCCGGAAAAATCTGACTTTATGAATTGCTCAGTTTACATGTCAATCATTTTGGTAATCAGTTGGATCGCAGCCTTTTTCAAGCTTCGCCGATCACGCAACATTCAATTGCAAAGTTTTTGCAAGTGTCATTGTTGATTACTTGGATAATTGATGGTACCATTTCATCGATAAGACTTGATGAGCATGAATCGAAGTCCATTTCTTCACTGTGCCCTCTATCTGTCATCTACAGTTCAGTTACGGTGAAAACGTGCTTGCTTTATCATTATTTTCCCTGATAATAGTAACACTGCAATTTTTATTTTTTTGGTTAATACGTAGGGCTTTGAGCCATTCGGCTTTATCCACCTCCGTTAACTGAAATGGTTCCTCTCTATTCCTTTTTTTTTTTTTTACCCCTGAAATTCCCTTGACATGCGATCTTCTCCATATATTTAATTGTCTATTTAGTTTAAAATAGCTAATTATAACGTTAAAATAAATATATTTTTTATTTAATTATTATAAATAAGCATAGTAATATTATTTTCAAAGAAAATTTAAGTGATAAATACATGTATAGCCATTAAATCAAATAGACCGACGACATTATATATAGAGAAATGCATTAAAAAAATGAATAGATGTATCAAAAAGTTATAAGTTTGCTTTGAACATGATACCATGTGTTTGGACTAAAATATGAAATGTCACTGAAGTAGATCACAAGACTAGTTAGGTTGAGTAACTAAAGTGTCAGGTCCAATATGAATAAAAGGGGCTAGCCCCAATGCTCGATAAAAGCCACAATAAATAAATATGTCAAAATTTTGTTAGCTGCAAATATTAGACCGTTGGTATGAAAGACACGATCTCAAATAATGTCGAAATCTATGAACTTCACGCCTAAGTATCTCAGTTAAACGGGCTAATTATCAAAATGGAGAGCATGGAATAAAGACCATGTCATGAGTTTCGTGAGATTCCTAATTTTTTGGTAAAATATGCTAGGTCTTAAAGAAGAGGCCACAATCACTCTGACACTATAAATAGAAGATGAAAATACGGAAGAAATTAGTTAACACTCAATCAAAAACTCGCATTTTACACTTTTTAGTTTTTTGGTTTATCAGTTAATTTTTCAATTTAGACTTCTAACTTTTTCACATTTCAATAAAATCAAACACTTGTTCTATTAAAGTCTTGTATTTTTTTATATCCAAATGAACTGTGATAAGGAAGTTTATGACTCCTTTGTTATCAATTAAGACTTAACTTCTCTGACACACCTGGTATTTATTATTCACTATGAACATGAAATTACACATTACTTGTAATTATTTTACTCTTCCAGATTTTGTGTCATCTTTCGGGTTCCACCCTTCCCCCTTGTGGGTCTTTTTCAAACCCCAATCCCGCCACCTACATTGCCAGAGACATGTATCATGGGATACCACAATTAAGTCTTTGTTTGGTTTTTAATTTATCAAAATTCATCTATTAAAAATTCATTTAAAAAAATAAATTAAAACAAGTTAGTTATTATAATGAAGTTTGTATTTAAATATATTTTTTAAAATTTAATTTAATAAATTAAAATTTATGTAGAATAATAATAATTTATATTTTTAAAATGTAATTTTAAATATACAATGATAAAAAGAACATTAATTTATGATAATTTATAATTCTTGTTATACAAAATTACAAATATAATATATTAAAAATATAAAAAAATTAAAATAGTATAAAATTTAATATGTTAAAATAGAATAGAAAATATAAAGTTTGATATGTTGGAAAAATCACATAATAAATTGTTCAACACACGTTAATATTGAAAAATAACATGATTAAAAAAAAGTATATGATACATTTTTTTCAAAAAAATTTTATCAATTTAACAAATCTTTGTTGGTTAACAAAAATTTTAAATAACATAAAATTTTACAAATAATGAAAGTATAAAATGTAAACATTATAAATAGCTAAATATATATATCAATGATAAAAATTAACATGATTAATTATTTAATATACAATGCTAAAGACTTGATCTTTGATTATTATTTAAATGGTTATTATATTTTAAAGAATTAAAAATATTTTTAAAATAAAAGAATAATAGATTATACTTGAGATATTATGATCAAATTACATCTTATTTTTCAAATTTAATTTTCAAAAGCTTCTTTATCTTACATTCACCAAATCCATTCTCACTAACATTCTCAAAACCCTCTTAGGATGTACATTTATCTCTTTATTTTATTTTTTTGAGACAACATCTCACATTCTAAAAGTGGGAAAGTACTTCCAAATGTTAAAAGCAAGTTACCCAAACACACCCTAATTCTAGCTTTGGGAGGTATAAGAAGTACACACCATATCTAATTAGTTCCATTCATTTATTTCTTTTTTTAATGAAAAATAATTTTTGGTCCTTACTCTCTTTGTTTTTATTTATAGGAGAAACTATCACTTTTTACTTATTTTTTTATATAAGTAAAATTATTTATTTCAATAAGCATTAATTATATATTTTTTAAATCACCCTTCATAATTTATATTAACAAAAAATAATTAATGCTTGCTTATGTTGATTAACATAGGGTATTTTAGTTTAATTTTTTATTTTCAAATATAATTTTTATGATTAACCAGTTTTTTTAAACTGTATGGTATAGATTTTTCTCTTATATTAGGAATATAATTTTATTGAGTTTTGCTTTTAGTTTCTGTATTTTTTTAAATATTTTCAATCTTTATGGAGACAAAAATATTGAAAAAATTGAAACTATAGAAACCTAAAATATTAATGTTACTTAAATTTTTTAAAATTATAAAGATTGAAAATATTAAACAAAAACTATAAGGATTGATGCAAAATTAGATGAAATTACAAGCGTTAATAATTTTATTTTTCTTTTTTAAATTTATTTTTTTGGGCTCATTATTCTATGATTCTATCTACGTGTTCCGTAGGAGGCAGGAGATTACTTTTGTCTTGTATGTAAAGGTGCCGTCTTGAAAAGCAGACGGCAATGCCAGGCAGAGCAGCGACACCCACCCTGCCTTCTCCACTTTTCATACCTTCTTTACAGCAACAAGTGACCTTTAATTTCCTAATCTTTTTAGCCCTTACCTCTTCACCCTTCTTCACTTCTACTTCTAGGATGCCCTTCAATGTTATGAGTAGTTGCCACTTTTATCTCTCACTCTCGCCCCCCACCCCTCCTTCTCTCGCTCGCTCGCGTTGTGGATACGGAGAAAATCAGTGTGCAAACAATATAATAGCTTGGAATGATGGGAGGTTGAATTATAGGAGGGAGGACATGAGTTGGTTGGGTGTGCAATCATTTGTCGCCCATTTCTTCAAAAGGTTTTTGTCTTTTTTTCCCCTCTTGCTTTTTATTTATAAAAGAAAATGAGAGATTCTTTTGCCCGATTTTGTTCCCCTCATGAGATTGCGGAAGCGCAAACGATGTTTTCCTTCTTGCTCCTCTCTTCACAAAGTAAATCCCATTATTTTTCTGAGTTTTTCTCATAGAAATGCTTATAGTTTCGAAGACTAGTAGAATTGAAACAGTGATGTAGTACTCCTTTTTCTGGCTGTTTTCCCTCCTTATTGTAAAATAAAGATATTACATTTCTTCTTGCCAAAGTAAAATTGAATTTTTCCAGTCTGCATTCTCAACAAGGTATTTTTAAGCACAGTGACTCAGTGAGCAGGTTTCAACTGAATCCATGAAATTTCTCAATAGAGTTGAGATTTTGGCAGATTGATGGACTGTTCATATTCTTGTTTGTTTCAATGCTCTTGACCGAAGGTGCTCTGAAAATTTAAATGCAGGTTGATGAGGATGAACCTTATTGGAGACAGAGAAAGGAAGATGAAGAATTGGAATGGTCACACAATTCTACTCACCTGATATCTCATTTGGCTCAATGTCTTAGTAAGTAGATTCATCCCTGGATTTGTATTGCTCCTATTTTCTAAATTTCATTTCTCTTATCAAAGCAGTAAGTTGATTCAATTGATATTGCATGTCAGTCATCATAATAGGTTTATTGATTGCTGCTTTAGTATGTTATCCTTTGATCTATGAAAATTTGGTTATCCCTACATCCTCAAGGAGTTAAGTTTTTGCTTCTGACTGTTTAATTCTGAGTTCCAAAATAATTTAAGCTTGTATATGAAAATGAAATTATCCTTTTTGTTAGACTTTTGATTCTCTTCCTTTTCCTTTTCGAACAAAGAGAAAAGAAAGGTCCTTTTGCTTGTGTTGTTCATCTGGGCTTTACTTTACTTTTGTGGGAAACTCTTGCAAAAGAAAGTTTTCTAGGCCACTTCTTTCTTCTACTCCTGTTTTTTGCATAAGAGCACAGAACATTTTTGCTGATGGTGAAAGAATTATGTTTGTAAGTGACCCTTGCTTTGACTAAGTCTCCTAACAACTGCAGACAAACTCAGCAACTTAAATGTTAACATTCCACACCTCATCATTATCAAAGATTCTTCTTTTCTTTTATTGCTGATCCACATGTTGCTCGAAGTAGCTAACGCTATGGTTGGATCACGATCATGGATAGGAGGATTCTTTCATCGTTCAAGTGCAAAACGTAATCACAAGTTTGTTGACCATCCCTTGAGTCCTCTTCAGGTATAAAAGCAAAAATGAAATGATGTAGTTGGTTTCTTTTATCACCTTGTATTCTATTGTTGGATCGGATCATGAATATAATCAATACGTACAAAACAGTATTTGTGTCATGATATTAGTTTTCACATGTGTCTGGCACTGGATAATTCATGACACATTACGCTAATGGAGCAGCTCATTTTAGTACTTGGTTGGAAACTAGATATACAATTGTGTTCCTAGTATGACTCTTTTTGTCATCACAAAATCAAGGAACTAAAAATGTTTTAGTTTTGTTGTTAGGAACAAAGGCTTCAAAGGCTTCAAGAACGGCTGCAAGTGCCTTTTGATGAGACTCGCCCTGATCATCAAGTACTTACTTATATACAGTGCTAGCTTTTCTTATTTTAAAATAATCAGCAGACATGCTTACACACCACCTTATAAACTGTGTAATAGTTTCTCTTATTTTATTAAACAGTGAGTTGTAACTTTTGAACCATAATTAATTATCATTAACTTTCAACAGGAAGCTCTGAGAGCATTGTGGCAGTGTGCCTTTCCTGATGTTGCTCTGAAGGGATTGATATCTGACCAATGGAAAGATATGGGATGGCAAGGTCCAAATCCATCAACTGATTTTAGGTATTCCTAATGAATACTGAAATGGAGTTAAAAAAAAAACAATTTTGTTCCTCAGAAAATGGTCAATCTATCAATCCTAATAAGACTATCTCAACTGAATAAATTCTGGTATTGGATCTTTTATGATAGGCATCCGTTTTTGGATATATAATGAAACACATGATACATATGCCAAGTATATGAAGCATTGATATTTAGTTTCATTTAATGTCTTTTCTGGGCCCTAAATGCATTGATGCTGAGATCTTGACAATGTCTTGTTACAACGATTTGAAAGCAAGTGTTCATTACCTTAATATTTTCCTATTCAAGTGTATTCTGTCTCATATCTTGCATGCCTCAGGGGATGTGGCTTTATTTCACTCGAAAATCTGCTGTTTTTTGCAAGGACATACCCGGTATGCATTTATATATATACTACTTTGTGCTCTTCATTTTTCATCTTAGTTTTTTTCTTTTTTTTTTCTTTTATCTACCGTTGTCAACAAGAGGAGTCTGTACTAATTTTGTGACTTCAAAATGAAGGCATCTTTTCAGAGGTTGTTGTTCAAGCAGGGTGGACATAGAGCTACATGGGAGTACCCCTTTGCTGTTGCTGGCATTAATGTATCATTTATGCTGATACAGATGTTGGATTTATGCTCTGGTTTGTGAGAAATTGTCTGATGAAATTTTTTTCCTTTATCAGGAACTTAAGATGTTATCAAGTTATTAGGAGGTAATAATATCTGTTACTTTTTTCCTTGCAGTGAAACCTCGTTGTCTTCCTGGAATTAATTTTGTCAAATTATTAGAAGGTAATGGTGATGCTTGTCACAGTCATTGTGTGGAATGCCTCTTTATATTGGACCAACCATTGTGGGGTTTCCCTTATTTTCACTTCTGCACTTATAAATGCCATCGATGCTTGGTGCTGTAGAAGATGAAGAAGCATACGATGTGCTATACTGTATAGCTTTCGAGATGATGGATGCTCAATGGCTGGCTATGCATGCTTCCTACATGAACTTCAATGTAATCTCTCTCTCTCTCTGCTTTCTGCATGCCTACTGGCACTGCAAAAAAGAACTGAAAAAATAAAAAAACCATGATGAAGCAAAGTTTCGAATTGAAATTATGAAAGAGAACTTTAATAGTAGGCTCATTTTTTACAATCTGGAACTGTTAATCTTGGAAGGCTTCATCAGAAGATCCTTAGCAAAATAGTGGCCCTGCATTGTTTCGGAACTTCAAGAACAAGATGAGAGTCAGGATTCATCACTCCAAATAAATGTCCTGAAGTTCCTTTCAATTCTCTCCTTTCCTGTCAGAAACTTCTTGTGATTCAAGCTAAAGAAGACATTGTGGATTCAAATTAAAACAATTAGATTGTAGCAAAAACGTTCACATGTGCATTTTTGGTAGGCAAAAATTTAAGACCAAAGTAGCTACAACTTTCAAGACGGAGAATGCATTGCAATTAGTGGAAGCCTACTGACAAATCAAGGCGTTTGGTTTTCTTTGTGATCAATTTTGTTAAATGGATGGAGTGAAAAATTCACCTTAAAACACATAGAGAGCATTTTTTATTTGGAGTTTTCAATATTTTTGAAATGGAATTCAATGCATATACTTAATGGGTTCAGGATGTTTTACAAGCAACAAGGGTGCAGTTGGAGGAGGGTTGTGTTAGGCCATCAACAGCCAATGTAAAAATTTGTTGAATCTATCATGAACATGGACAATAGACGTTATAATGTTAATGCTAGGTCGTTGCCCGTAAGTAACGCGCTGCATGGCTCGAGTACAGTGATAAGTGAGTTAGAGCCGCTGCATCGGCGCCCGGATGTAGTGTTAAATGAGCAAGGGCTACCGCGTCATTCTGGACGCACGCGGCTAAAGAAGTTAGTCCATAAGAGCAAAATTAGATTTGGTACTTGGAATGTTGGGACATTAAATTGTAAATCTGTAGAGGTTGTAGGGGTTATGATTCAAAGGAAAATCAATATCCTTTGCTTGCAAGAAACAAAATGGCGTGGAGAAGGAGCTAAGGATATTCAAGGTTTCAAACTTTGGTATACAGGAAAAGTAAGTGCACGCAATGGAGTAGGCATCATTATAGATAAGGAGTGGAAGAAGAACGTTGTAGAAGTTAGCAGAATTGGAGACAGAATTATTTCTTTAAAAATGATAATTGGACGTGAGACTGTTAATATTGTTAGCGCTTATGCGCCGCAAGTCGGGACAGAAGCCAGTCTTAAGGAATTATTTTGGGAGGATCTGGAGGGGTTGATTCGACACATACCACAGAGTGAAAAGATTTTTATTGGAGGAGACTTTAATGGGCATGTCGGGAGGGAAGCTGGTCAGTATGCGAGGGTGCATGGTGGTTTTGGTTTTGGAGAGCTAAACAATGAAGGGCAAACTCTTCTTGATTTCTCATTGGCGTATGATTTTAAGATTGCCAACACTTGTTTCAAGAAGAGAGATGAGCATCTCATCACTTACAAAAGTGGAGCCTCAAGGTCGCAGATTGATTTTCTTTTGGTTAGGAACACAGATAGAAAACTTTGTAAAAATTGTAAGGTGATCCCTGGAGATGCTGTAACGACACAACATAGGGTCCTAGTCCTTGATGTGTGTATTATGAGTAAAATCCAAAAACGTCGACAAGTAGTAACACCAAAGATTAGGTGGTGGCAATTAAAAGGTGAGAAGCAAGATATTTTCAAGCGAAATCTTTTGGATAAAGGAATTTGGGATTCTCAGGGAAGTGCTAACATCATATGGGAGGATATGGCTAAAAAGATACGGGAGGTTGCAAAAGTAGTTTTGGGAGAATCGAAAGGTTCTGGTCCGAGAGATAAGGAGTCTTGGTGGTGGAATAGTAGTGTACAGGACAAAATCAAGTATAAGAAGAACTGTTTTAAAGCCATACATTTGTGTAACAATGAGGAAAATTGGGAGAGGTACCGTATGGCTAAGAAGGAAACTAAGAGAGCTGTGGGTGAAGCTCGTTCCAAAGCTTTTGAAGAATTTTATAAGAACCTTGAGACGAAGGAAGGAGAGCAAAATATTTATAAGATTGCCAAGAGTAGGGAAAGAAAATCAAGAGATCTAGAACAGGTAAGGTGTATTAAGGATGAAGAGGGAAGAATTTTAGTTACAGATGATGAAATTAAAAATAGATGGGAGACTTATTTTTCTAAACTTTTCAATGATGGAGAGGATTCATCTAGTAACTTGGAGGATTTAGTAACTGGTGTAAGGAGAACAAAATTTGTCATTCTATCGAAAAATACGTGATAAGGAGGTAAAAGAAGCTCTTAAGAAAATGGCAAATGGTAGAGCTAACGGACCTGATTGTATATCTATCGAAGCGTGGAAATGTTTAGGTGAAGAAGGGGTGAGATGGTTAACTAAGTTATTTAATGTGATTTTACGGTCCAAGAAAATGCCTGATGAGTGGAGGAGAAGTACATTAATTCCTATTTATAAAAATAAAGGAGATATTCAGAATTGTACTAACTATAGAGGGATTAAACTCATGAGCCACACAATGAAATTGTGGGAGAAAGTAATTGAGCACAGGTTGAGATTGGAGACAAGTATTTCTGAGAATCAATTTGGTTTTATGCCAGGTAGATCAACTACAGAGGCGATTTATCTACTAAGGGGATTAATGGAAAAGTATCGTTGTAAAGATAAAGATCTACACATGGTTTTTATTGATTTGGAAAAAGCTTATGACCGTATACCAAGAGAAGTGCTTTGGAAAGCGTTGGAAAAAAAGGGAGTACGGATTGCTTATATTAAAGCCATACAAGATATGTATGAGGGGGTAAAAACTAGTATAAGAACGCCTAGTGGTCAAACAAAGGATTTTCCTATAAGATTGGACTACATCAGGGATCATCTCTGAGTCCTTATTTGTTCAACTTGATTTTAAATGTTTTGACGGAACATATTCAAGAGGAAATCCCGAAATGTATGCTCTTCGCGGATGATATAGTTCTTATAGCAGAGACAAGAGAAGAGGTTAATTGCAAACTTGAGTTATGGAGGAGGACATTGGAGTCGAAAGGTTTTCGTCTGAGTAGAAGTAAGACGGAATATTTATATTGTAAATTTGGTAAAGACTATTCGAAAATAATTTGGAAGTGAAATTGGGAGATCAAATTATACCTCAAGTGGAAAAGTTTAGATATTTGGGAGCCATTATTCAAAATGATGGCGAAATCAGTGGAGATATTTCACATAGAATTCAAGCTGGGTGGTTTAATTGGAGAAAAGCTAAAGGAGTTATTTGTGACCGTAAGGTGCCTAATAAACTTAAAGGAAAGTTTTATCGTACTGCTATCAGACCGGCAATGTTATATAGTAGTGAATGCTGGGCTCTAACGGGACAGCAAGAGCATAAAGTTGGAGTAGCAGAGATGAGAATGTTACGATGGATGTGCGGACATACACGTAAAGATAAAATTCGAAATGAGCACATACGTGAAAAAGTGAGGGTGGCACCTATTGAGGAAAAAATGGTAGAAAATCGGTTGAGATGGTTTGGGCATGTACAAAGAAGACCAAGGGAGGCACCAGTGAGAAGAGTGGAACATATAACTTTGAGTCCGATTAAGAGAGGTAGAGGAAGGCCTAAGAGAACACTCTTGGAAGTTGTTGAACGTGATCTCTTAATTAATAATATTTCTAAAAGCTTAATAAATGATAGAGCACAATGGCGTCTTGCAATCCATGTAGCCGACCCCACCTAGTGGGATAAAGGCTTGTTGTTGTTGTTGTTGTAAGGGTGCAGTTGGAGAAAGAGTTGTGCTTGGAAGACCTTCACAGGATGAAAGATCTTCCCTCATACAATCTCTTGTACCATTGGCAATAGCTGTTCTCTTCTTTCTCTGCTCCTCTCTTCAGAACCAGAAACACGTTCAAAACTTGTAAGTATTTTTGACAGCCACATGGATAATATCCATGCTGAACTGCTGGGAAAACGGGTTGTATCTGTCTTCTTCTCCCTCAGTTCTTTGCATGTACAGCTTCTATTTGATAAATGAGCTAATTACGTTGAGGCTAATCTATCCATTTGAAATACCTCTCGCAATGGAATCAGAGCCTAAGCTGTTCAGTGAATGACTATTTTTCCTTGAGCATGCATGGATATCCACTTATGAGATGGAATGAAAAGTCCTTTCCAATTGTGCTTCTAGAATGAAACCTTTCAATAATGCGATCAGTATTGAGGCGTTCGCCCTTGACAAATCAATGATTGTGAGCGTTCTACGTGGTTTAACTCTTTCCTTAGCTGATTCATGGTCCGTTGATTTAATCGGATGTCTAAGAAAATTTAACGTCACGACAGTCATGGCGTGTGAGTAATTGGTACGCAAATCACGCTCGGGATGTAGCTTTCATCATCATGGCCAAGTAGCTTTCATTAGTTTCTTGCTAATCAACTTTGCTTTAAAAAAAAAAAAAAAAAAGGTTTCTTACGAATCAACAACTATAAAGAGGCACCTTGACATCTTTATATCAATTATAGATCTAGTGGGTCTTAAAACAATTAAGATATTAACGAGCCACATCGACATTTTTACAAATTCACATCCAAGATTTATATTCAAATACCGGTGCATCACACATTTCTTTTCTAAATTCACCCCCTCATTATAATGGTGAAGAGATTTATTAAGATAAAATTACAAGTTAATTTTTTTCTTGATATTGCAGGGGTATTAATATTACATATTTTTAGCTCTCCAAGATTTGTATGAACTTGTTCTGTGTAGTTTTTAATTTTGATCCCCTCAATCTTTAATCTCGGTGCCTCCATGAATACTATGAGTTATGATCAAGAATTCAAACTAATTTTAGCAGACTTTATATCTTAGTGTATATATGAAAAGTGACTTTCACGTGGGACAAAATGGATCAATTTTTCATCCTTTACTCACGTCAATTAGACAAAGGGCTCTACTTTTCACATATTAGAATTGGGACGAAAGAGATTTTAAAAAATTAATTAATTTAAATTAAATTTTAAGTGTTAAATTTTAAAAATTTATAACTTAATTTTTTAATTTTGTAATTGAGTTGTGATGAATTTACAATTAGTATTTCAAATTTTAATAAGAAAAATAATTTTTTTATTCTTCATCCGTGTTAAAATTTAAAAAATAAATTACAAATTCATCACAATACAATTACAAAATTAAAATATTAAGTTGTAAGTTTTTAAAATTTAATACTTGAGATTTAATTTAAATTAATTTATTTTTAAATCTCTTTATCATTCTTCCTATTAAAATATACGTCACAAACAAATATGCTCAATAGGTGGGAGTTGACAAAAATTTGAGAATGATATAGTTGGCCAAAAAAAGCAATTGAGGATGGTATGATTTTATCACCTCTTGTCACAAATATAAAAATGTAGGACTTCAATTATTTCATTGCCTCACCCTTACATATATGCATATATTATATATCTTCTAGAATTCGCATGGCCTAAAACCAGAGCTTTTGTTTTTTCAATCAATAACTACCCCATTACCCTACCCCACCACTAAATATATATATATATATATATATAATATGATATGATATGAACACAGGGGAATGAATAGTGCACATGCAGTAACGAGACAAGAATTTTAATCCCCCCAAATATACTCCTTCACTTTGACCTCTTGAATGCCTTAATATGTCCATTGGCCAAAAAAAAAAAAAACATGTAATATTTCAAAAAAGCTAAAATCTATCTTTGTCCTCTAATTTTTACATTAGATTTTGGTTTGGTCCCTTAATTTTAAAAAGTATTTTTTTAGTTCTTTAAGCCTAACACTATTAGTTTTAAATAAATTTTTTGTACCAATTATTATTATTTTAAATAATTAAATTTAATATGTCAACATTTGAGAATGTTTTATTAATAACTAAGAGTTTAGTGTGAGATTTTTTATAACCGTGTTAGGTTACAGGACTAAAATATATTTTTTAAAATTAAGAGTTGTATAAAATTAAATAAGTAAAGGTATAAGGTTGCCTTTACTAATCTAATTCTCAACCAAACACATCATCAGTAATAATTGAGACTAACTCAAAAAGATTATTCAACCATGGTTAATCATTTAAAAGTAATTCAAAATCTAAAGTTATTTCCTTCAACAATTAGTATCCCAAGTTTAAGCTTTACAAAACAAATCAAATATGACATTATTAAGTAAAAAATGAAGTATAAATAAGTACAGAAGTATGGGATACCATTTTGTAGTCAAAAGACTTAAAACTAGTTAAAAAACATTAATTGAAAGTGAAAATAGAGGAATGCGCTAGTGCTTGGCTTATTCTTTTCTGTGTCACTTGCCAAACGCACTACACAAAATTTGACAGCATTGTGTTGTCATATGACACCATCCAAAGGTAGCTTCTAACACACCTTAGTTCTCTGTTTGACTTCTGATCGAGGTGATTTAGGTGTCTATAAAAAGCATTTTTCATAAACTAGTTAGTGGTATGAGTTTTACTTTTAAATAGTTTCACACGAAAGAGTTAGACACTTGAATACAACTTTCCCATTTTCACACACTTTTACATAAGAAGGGTATTCAAAACTTATCACATGTGCTAAAAGTTACAACTAACATTTGAACCACACTCGATAAATTTAAGACAATCTGTGCAACACACCACAGTTACAATAATATAAACATACTACATCTTCAACCATCAACTCTATAATAACAAAAACAAAATGGGAGGTCCACGTTGCATTTAAATCATGATATTCCTCTTTTTTTATTAGTTCCATAAATATCTATACTTATACTAGTATTTTGGTGTTATCACAAATAATCCATGTATATACAGCAACTTAAGGCTTAAAAATACACCAATTCATCACTCAAATAACTTAGTACAAATATAATAAAAGAATGCAACTCTAATTGATCAATATCAGTCATAACTTACACATAAATTTAAAATAGAGAGACGATATATGATAGAAATGTCAAATTCTTAAGTCTTAAAAGTCTTCCCTTTTTTCACATCTGAGTTAGGCCTGTAAGATGTTAAAAGAGAGGGAACAGTACATCATTTAGGAAGTGAGATACATCTATCCTATGCAATTGCTTATTAAATGACAACTTAACATGTGCAAAAACTTATAAACATATAAATTCCTCAATCTGCAAGAAAATCACATTTAACCACACTAGAACTCAAGTAATCAAATTATCATTTTTTCTCACAATCATTTTATAATGCGCATTGCCACTATAATAGCCACCATATGACAATAGCAAAAGTAAATATCACAACTTGCCATAAATTTAATAACTATGTGACACATTAGATAAAAATGCATGACCTAACAATCATTGCATCCTCCTTATACTTTTCAATTAAAACTGTGAGCTATGATTTAATTAGAGCTCCATCCAAGTGAATAAACTACTTAAGCTCACCAATAATGAGGAGTGACTCTACTAAAATGAACATGCTATAAAATATGCTTACTCATTTCATATATTTTCACACACAATTATAAGCTCATTGTAACCACACAATAAGTTATCATATAGCATCACAATTACATTCACTTATTACACACAATTCTCGTTCTCATACACTCATATCACATTCACTTATTCTTCACTTTACTCATGTATTGTACTCAACTCACATATAATGACACAATCATCCCATCAATTATCAACTCTTTTTTGAACACATAATGGTGATATCTCAATTATTTCAAATTCAAACAATCACATTTATCATTAAAAATGGATTGATCAAGTGCACATGTTTTTTTACACATATTAACAATTATGCAAACCATTCATTCATATCAAATAGTTCATTTTTAAAAGCATAAATCAATAAGCAAATAATTATACAAAAAATATTTCACTCATTACCTCAAAGTCAAAGCTTTACCCCTAAAATAATTAGCTTCTAAGCTTGCTCTCAAGCCCAAATGATGCATGGACAATTAATCTATAATTACTCAAATCTTCAATTATCAACATCACTATTTACACAATTAAAACTCTTTATCCAACACTTTAAATATCCCAAATCCCTTATCTCTAGTATTTAGGCCTAACTGTTGTATGCATGAGTTGCCTTTAGCTCCCATAAGCTTCATTAAACTCTTAATTTGTCATTAATGGCTTTCAGCCAACTCCAACAACTATAATAAATAGTAATTTTGGCCATTAATGCATCCTCAACTACCAAAGCATGTAAACCCATAAATCATAGGTTTAAACACTCCAAGCAATTCTCATTAACTTTATTTCAATCAATAGGTTCGAACTCATAACTTTTATAAACTAAAAATAAGTTTTCAAACACAAACCTTAACTCAAAAACTCTCAAATAAGGAAGGGAAAGGAAAAGAGGAGCTTGAAATACCTACCTTTGATGTTATAAAAGCTTCAAAATACTCCCAATGTCTTGAACATCCAAGTCCTAGAAAAGCTCTTCTAGTGCTCTAAGTATCTCTCCCTTAAATTTCTATTTCTCTCTCTTTTTCATGTCTAATTTGTGACTTATTGTTGTCAGATTTGTTTTGTGTCCCACAGCGCCTATCACACATGTCACAATGTATGGCATAGAGATGGTTCATTTAAGTTTTATAGCTAAATGCGCCACAAAACACGACACACGTGCATTAACATTTGATACAAAATCACTCCTCCTTGTTTTTCTCCCCTTTTGAGGTTTAGGTGACCTAACTCCTCTCCAAACCCAAACCTAAAGACAAAAACACAATCCAAAACATTCATTAATCCTTTCTGACCACATACTGACAATAATTTTACTTAACTATCCTTAATTAGTTTGATTAATTAGAGGTTAATTTTTATGATGTTACAAAAGGTACACTTTAACTTTTCAAAAATCTATTCTTTCAATCTTATTCTTGTCTTTATGTCAAACCTTGTAAATAATTAATTAATAGTTGAAAATAAATTATATATGATGTGGTCTGATATGTAAAACTAGATTTATTTCCGGTTAGATGCAAATAAATAATTTGTTATACAAAAAATAAAAAAATAAAATGAAAATTTAAAAATTCTTTTAGTTTACTTATAATTTAAAGTAAAATATATTGTCCTCCCCTCTATTTTATCTTAATTTATGATATCTTTTTTATTTTTTTAAATTCTGTATGAACCTACTTCAAAATCAATAATTATAAAATCCAGACTTTTCTTCTATTTTTAAATTCTCATCTTTATCCATCCAAATATTAGTTGAAAGTTAAGCCACATATGTTAGGTTAAAATATCTCTTCTTAAATATAAATATTATCTAAAAATTATTTAAGTTAACCTCAAAACACTTAAATGATATATTGTTTTAATTTTTTATTCATATGTTAAATTTAATAGTTATACATACTTATTTATTATTTTTAAAAATTTAAATAGATAAGTTTGATAAAATAATATTTCAAACACGCATATTAAAAAATCTTAATAAAATAGGAGTTTAATATAATAAGAGATTGATTAGCCAATATATTTATGTTTATTTTTATTTAAATTTTATAATATTAATAAAACACTATTAATTATTTTTAAAACACTTAGCCTTATATTTTATTTTATAATTTATTTTCGTATACACATAGAATCTAAAAGTAACAAATTATTTTATTTAAAATTTTATACTTTGAGTAAATTAAATTTTAAAATAAAACCCATCCAGTTACCTCCTACTTTTTATACTTTTTCTAAATAAAATTTGTAAGTTTATATCATATTTAACACTTATTATTTTTACTAAGAATCTTATATGTATTGTCAGTTTTTATCATGGATCCTACATAATATTTCAAAATATAAAGTTCTTATTATTTTTTATACCTTGTCTAAATTTTTAATATTTACAAATTAAAAATTTGTGCAGCACAAATTTTCACCCTATGTGAATAAGTTTTATTAATTAAATTACAAGTCCCACATCACATTTTTTAATGGGAGCTCCCACGCCCACTTGTCTTTAAACTTTAGGAAACAACTTCTATTTTTCATAATGCTACCCTTATGCACATAAAAAATATATCAATATTTAAAAAAAATCTCTCACTTCCTGCAACTTGAAATATAATTTAGCTCATCCCTTCGTTAAAATTTCATTGCCTCATGTATCACCTTAAGAAAAATGAAACATTTACTATAAGGGATCTTGCTATTATTTTTAAATCATATATGTATGCAAAAGTAAAAATAGATAAACATTATGTATAAATGAAATGATAATTTTAAATTAAGAAAACAATATAATTTATATTATAATACTATTTATCAATAATATGTATGAACATTATAAAGAATACAATGATGACAAAATGTTGAGGTGTGCAGTGGAAGATAAGTTCATGAGAGAATTTCATCCTAGGACCATGATGGGTGCATTTTTTTTCAATCACACCCAAATATTTATGAAATAACACTGCAGGTTTCAAAGACTCGCATGAAATTAAGTTTCATAGTGAAATAACATTATTACCTCCAGTGTTTAAACAAGAGTAAATAACATTTGAGAGAAGTCATGTATATTCGTAAGTAACATTACAGATTTGACAAGCAATATTAGACAATTTACAAGTAATATTACGTTCTACAAGAGATGTTAGTTGCACAAATAATATTCAAAATAATAAGTTAAATTATGATTTTTACAAATAACATTAGTAAAATAATAAGGCAAGTTATAATTTTTACAAGTAATATTGATATAATAATAAGTCAAGTTTGGTTTTTACAAGCAATATTATTATAAAACAAGTCAAGTTATGATTTTTACAAGTAATATTATGAGAATAATAAAAAATTATGTTTATTCTATTAATGTTACTTGTAAAACCCATAACTTAACTTGTTATTCTCCTAACATTACTTGTAAAAATTGTAAGTTAACTTTTTATCTCAACAACGCTAATTATAATTGAAAGGCATTTTGGTCATTCATTCAACAAAATTTATTTTATTTTAGTATTTCAGAACTGCAGTGAAATTTCATAATTTTTGAGACCCAATTGAAATTATATCACATCCAATAACCGTTAATGAAATTCTCCCCGAGTTCATTAACATTAATATTTTTTATAGATTTTCAAATCATACTCTAATTTTACATATAAGTAATATAATAATAGATTTTCTACCTTGTGCATTTGAAGAATATGAACTATAACTTTTTTCATTCTCACACAAATTATTTTATGATTTGTTACCCCATGCTAATAATAAATATACAAAAAAATTTGTTATCTCAAGCTATTTTTATCCCCATTTAAATTTGAATTTAAGCACGTTTTATTTTATAGTTTTTTATTTCAAAATAAAATTTGATTTTATAAATAACAATTTGCTTTATTTTAGATAGTAAACTCATACTCTCTCCATTAAAAAATGTAAGATATTTTTAACCTAATCTCACATCTAATAAAGTGGTTATTTTTTTCAAACTAGAACTATCTTTTTATATATATCCCTATTTAATATGATATTTTATTTTAAAATAAATATAAAGTGATTTATTCATTAAGGATACTTTTGAAAAAAAAGGCAATAATTATACCTTAAAACACTTAAGGATCCGTTTGGATTTTAGTTGGGTATAATAGATTATAAAAATAATTGATTAAGTGGTAGATTTTAATCATAATTGATTATATTATAACACAATCTATTTGAATACTGTTTTTCTAAAATTAATTTTAACAAAATTAAAGATGTTTGGATAATTTAATTAGAATCAATTTTAGTTATATAAATTACTATATAATTTAATTTTTAAATACCAAATATCAATTTTTTGAAGATGCAAAATTCAAATTTTATTAAGAAAAAAAAGAGAAAAGAAGAGAGTTTAGTTTTATTTTTATTAAATTATGTGCTTTTTTTGTAATTTTTGTTTGGGCCTGTCTTTGTAATTTTTCCCAATATTTTGGACAAGCTTCTCCACAAAAGCTCTGATTCTCAACTTTCAGAAATAATTGATTTTTAGCCTGAAAATCGATTCCCCCAAAAAGTGGGTGTTTGGATAATTTTTTGGAGAATTAATTTTTTGAGCCAAAAATCAATTATATTTGCTATCCAAACACACTGTAAAATGTCTTATATTTTTTAATATTGAATTAGCTTACATTTTTTAATGTAGGAAAGGAAACAACATTCTCATCTATATTAAGAATATATACAAAAAAAATTTTTATTTTAAACAAATAACTTAAAAATTTGTTTCTCCATGCATTTTAAAATTAAAATACAAAGAATAATTTATTATTCTAGACTTCTAGTACGTACGTGTGTTATCCTCGCAGAAATTAAAATTTAAACAATAAAATATTTATTTTATAAATTGTCACTTAGATTTATATTTTATTGTACAATTTATTATTTTATACATGTAAAATTTAAAAGTAACAAATTATTTTGTTTAGTATTTATTATTTCAAGTAATTAAATTTTAAAATAAAACCCATCAAGTTACCTCCGTATTTTTTATACTTTTTTAAATAAAATTTTAAATTTTAATGCATATCTTTTTTTTGAGCAAATTTTAATTCACATCTAACTCCTATTATTTTTACTAAGAATTGTATATACATGCTAATTTTTAACATGAATTTTACATGATCTTTCAAAATATAAAGATCCTATTTTTTTATATTTTCTGGAAACCTTGATTAAATTTTAACATTTACGAATTTACAAATAAAAATCTATGTACAAAAAAAATTTCATCCTATGTAGATAAATTTTACTCCCTCGTTCAAAAATATAAATTATTTTTTAAGTAATTAGATGTTTAAAAATATAAGATATTTTTAGTTTTTTGAGATGTAATCACTACTTTTTTTAAAAGTACCCTTATCGATAACTACTTTATATATATTACAGGATATTTAATAGAGATAAATATTAAAAGATATGGTTAGTTAGAAAGTAGGTAACTACTTTATTGAAGGTGAGATTCGATTAAAAATACTTTACATTTTATTAATGAAAGGAGTATTAATTAAATTACAGTTCCGCATTCACTTCATATTTTTTGAATAAAAAGTCCCACTCACAGCTTTGTTCTAATATGGGTCTCACGTCTACAATTTTAAAATTATTCATTACTATTTTTTAAACAAATTTAAAAAAGAAAAGAAAGGGCACACTGTTCAAATCTTTGCATTAGCGTGCTTTGAAATTGTGCTTTGCTATAAGAATTAGATAGGCATTAGACAGATGCAACTGAGCATTTCGTGTCAACCCAGCACCAGCCTAAAGAAAGTCACAAGACAAGTCAAAGTTTGACATATTGTAATTCGTAACCACTCCCCGATTTTCAACGCTATCTATATATGGATGACTAAGTCTTGATGGATCATATATATATATATATATGTATGTATATATAGTTAATGATGGGTAGTGTATTTTTTCATTCCATCCGGCAAACCTGGACTATCAACCTCACCATTATCTCCCCCGCATAAACAAATATGAACCCTTGTGTGAAATATATTATAATTAAATGATATGTACATACCGTAAAAAATAATTTGTAAATTACATGAACATGTTTGTACCCCTTGAGAAATTGAAACGTATGGTTGATTGTTTTCTTAAAAGCAAAACTATAAAATTCTAGAAACATTTATCACTTTTTGTTCTAAAATTGTCTCATAAAATAAGAGTTTGTTTTTAATAGACAGACTCGATTCCTTCATGTACTAAAGATTAATCACAAAGATATTTTAATCTAACATTTTAATTTCTGACATAATTTCTAGGATTAAAAAATTTTCTTAAAATGTATGAATTAATTAAAATTTACTTACGCGGTTTATCAAAAAAGAAAAAAGAAATTTACTTTACGCGCGGAGGACTTTGGGATAGTTTCGTTTTGCGAGCGTAAGCTTGCTTGAGTTCTCTATAACTAGGCGGCTGCTTCTCTATGCGAGTACTGTGAACAGGGAGATCAGAAGATGGGAGAACATGCAAGTGGAGAGGAGGCTCTGATATTACAAGGTCAAGCTCATGTATTGAAGTGCATGTTCGGTTTTGTAGATTCCATGGCCCTCAAATCCGCCGTGGAGCTCCGCATTCCGACATTATACACCGCCACGGCGGACCTATCTCCCTCTCCCAGATCACCGCCTCCCTCTCCGACGCTCCTTCTCCCGACCCTGCCTCCCTCGCCCGCATCATGAGACTTCTCGTCCGCCGCAGCATCTTCACCGCCCACCACCCCTCCGACGGCGGAGATACCCTCTACGGCCTCACCCACTCTTCTCGCTGGCTTCTTGGTGACTCAGACTTGAACCTCGCCCCGCGCTTCTCATGCAGAACCATCCCACCCTTATGGCTCCCTGGCACTGTCTGAGCCGCTGCGTGCGAGAGGGTGGCACGGCGTTCAAGAAGGCTCATGGCCTAGAGATCTGGGAGTTAGCATCGGAGAGCCCAGAGTTCAACAAGCTATTCAACGACGGGATGGCGTGTACGGCGAGGATGGTGATGAGGGCGCTCACATCGGCGTACGAGGAAGGGTTCCAGAGCATTGGATCGTTGGTGGATGTGGGAGGGAACACCGGAGGGACGGCTTCGGAGATAGTGAAAGTTTATCCCCACATAAAGTGCGTCAACTTTGATCTGCCCCATGTGATCGCCACCGCGCCTGAATACGATGGGATCACCCACGTCGGAGGAGACATGTTCCACTCTATCCCTCCTGCTGATGCTGTTTTCATGAAGGTAACTACGAACCCGCAGTTATATATCCGAATTTTATATTATTCTTAATATTAAAATTTATGAATTTATCGACCACCTGTCACCACATCTATGCATGTGCTTAGGTTATTTCTTACATACACAGATATGAAATTATATATGGCCATTAATTATAACATGTTAATTTCTCATAATCTATTTGTGTAATCTATTCCCCCCTCGTCTTTATTAATGAAGAGTTATTCATTAATATTTTAGATAAATTAAGGGAAATAATTAAATATATTTTTTATAATTTTTTCAAAATTACCCTCGATCAAGCTAAAATAAGAGATTATTTGCATTCGAATTCATATGAATATACAAAGAATATTTTTGAAAAAGCTACTTTGAATTGAGCCCAACAATACTTGAAATATTAAAAGTAGTGAAAATGGTTATTTTCAAAATGAATTACAAATGTTTCATCAATTTTAATTTATAAATAGTTGAATTTCATTAAGAACTACTCCCTCAGATTCTTATTTTATAAGATATATCTAACTATCTCACCAGAATTGAAAAGATATAATTAAATAATTTTATTTGAAAAAAGAATAAACTTATAATATTATCTATATCTAAATAACATTTTTCTAAATCTGTATTACACTTTCTCTTATAGTAATGTAAAGAAGTTTAATTAAGGGGTATTATTGAGAAAATGTAATTAATTCTCACCAAGTGTTTTTATTTAAAAATATTAATTTTTTTAAAAAATGTCTTATAATATTGATTGGCTGGAGCATGTAACTAGAAATGGACTTGTAAATAACTAAAGGGTAATCATAAAAATATATACAGGCAAGAGATCAGACACCCGAATTCCTCATTATTGAAGATCGAATGAGTCGATATTATTGATATTGATGATTACGTTAAAGTCTCGAACGAAACCCATTTTTTACTACAAGGTTGTACTGCGTGACGCATAATTGTCAACCTACAATTTTAGCGTATCTTTCTTTATGTTTTATCCGTTTTGGTGGGCATTTGAAGTAGAAGTCAACGATCGCATCTAAGGTGGGAAAAATGATATAGAGTGACAGGGACAGGGATTTTTTCTGTCAACGAATTTTGGAAACCGCGAGGAGACAAATCAGGGACAGGCATTGAAAGAAATGATACCCCTTGGAAATATCACCTCAATTGAGGGAATCTGCACCGCACGCTTCAGAGTGTTTACTGGTGCCTGCTTTACAACCACACACACACAGACACACACACAGATAGAAATAGAATGAAATGTGACTGAATTTATGAAAACGAGATGAGAATGTGAATTGATGGAACGGGATGGTGCGTGCAGTGGATACTGCACGATTGGAGCGACGAAGATTGCATAAAGATACTGAAGAATTGCAGGGAGGCGATAGCAGAAGAGGGAGGGAGGGTGATAATTGCAGAGTTTGTGCTGAAGCCGGACGGGAGCGAAGTGTTCGACGACACAGGGTTGGTCACCGATCTGCTGATGATTGCTCATTCCGCCGGCGGAAGAGAGAGGACTCAGTCGCAGTGGAAGACTCTGTTACACCAAGCTGGCTTCCCTCGTATTCGAATCATCAACACACCCTCTTTCTTATCCATCATTGAGGCTCACCCACTCTGAAACCATTCATCAACCTCCACTCTTCTATTTTGCTTGCACCTATCTTTGCTAATTCATGTGTCAAATTTTAAGTATGAATAATAAAATTTGCACCTATCCAGCATGGCTACATTTGTAGCGGGCCGGCCCAATTAATTTTTATTGCTTTTGGTATATAAGAGTGTAGAACCCGACAGAAAGGAAGAAAAAAAAAAAAAAAACAAAGAAACACCAAACTAGACGGGATTGAGAACCGGATCTCAAATTCACCAACAATTTTGAAGAAATGACAATTAAGGATCTCTTAAAAATATTAATCCTAAATAAAGATTATAAAATTTTAAAATCTCAGTTAAGGATCATGATCCTTAATTAAGATAAAAAAATATAGTTTGTCTTAAATGTCTCTGAGATTCACTAACATAAGGTGTGATTCATTAATACCACTTGAAGATTTACTAACTCGATTTAAAAAATTTTTAACGTGTATTATAAAAATATAAAACTCTACTTATGAATTAATTGTTTAACAAAAATGTCATTTAAAAATTTACTAATCAGATTAAAAAAAATTTAACGTATATTGTGAAAAAATAAAACTCCACTTAAAAATTAATTGTTTAACGAAAAGTGACTAGTCTAAATTAAAATTCACTAATGCTATTTAAAAATTCAATAACCTAATGTGAGAAAATTGCTAACGTATATTGTGAAAATAACATTTATGAGAATTCAACATAATTGAGTTTTTTTTTTTCAAGGGCATTTAAGACAAACTATATTTTTTTTAAATCTCATGATTCTTAATTAAAATTTTAAAATTTTATAATCTTAATTGAGATTAATATTTTTAGAGGATCCTTAATTTTCTTTCCCAACAATCTTTCATTGCAAAGCCCACACTGCAATTAAAGTTTATGAATTAGACTTTTGCAATACATCTACACAGGAGTATTTGTCCTTAATCAAGAATATATAAGGGTGGCATGTGCACTATATTGTATTTTGTTGTTATTAGATTGATATCATGACCGTGACGACCCAAAAAATGAGTTAGTGGGAGCATAATTTATAATTAAAATGAATATTTATTTTTTTAAAAAAATTATTCTAAAATATTTATAAAATTATAGTAAGGATATAGCATAATAAAATTAAATACTAAAAGAATGCATAAAGTATAAAATTATAATAAAATAAAAAAAATTAAATTTTAATATTATACATTTTTTAATCTTTTAGACCGCAGAAGAAATAAGTGAATTTTTTATACGGAGGTAAGTGAAATTTTTAAAATGATGGGCGCAAAGCAAGGTTTTTGAGGGCGCGCATTCATTTTTTGGATCCTCTCGTGGGATTTTTTTTTGGCTTGTGGGGCCACTGGCCCCTCTAGCTCTAATGTAGGTCGGTGCATGTCAATTTCCAACCTTAGCTTTAATCTATGCTACAATTTCAATTAGTTTGACAATTGTGACCAACTCCATCTCGACTGATGTGAGAACTCACAAATGGTGATGGCATATATATCACCACGCCGCTAAAAAAACGAATGCAAAAGTTACTCCATTACCCAACCCTTCCATATGAGCTTCTAGAATAAGCATTATGACATTAATTACTACTGCCACTGACCAGCTTCGCCAGTGTATGAGATCGATACGCTAATAAATTTCAGAATATTATAGGAATCAACTTTAGGAGAAAGCAACTATCCTTGTTATTTCACAAAAGCGGGAAAAGTAATTTTAAAAATGATAACTAATTTAAATTTTAAACAATGCAAATACAAAAGAACCAGTAAAAGCGACGGAAGGAACGAACCAACCAATAAAACGAGAGCTAGAAATCTGAATTTGCCCATCATAATTCTAACTCAATTAATTATATTTCTTTCTTTTATAGTAACAATTTTTTTAAGTTATCTTAATTACCTTTCAATATATTAAAATATATTTAATTATAATTAAATCTAACTATCATTAAATTTTACTCTTTGACTAAATCATGAAAATATGATCCATGCCACCCCAAAATCCTAAACTATTCCTAATCTAATTATCTGCATCTGTCTCTCTAAATTTATATAAGTTTTTCACCAATCAGTTCATTGAACCACCTACAAATAATATATATAGTAGCCATCTATATAAGGAGTACTTAAAATGAGAGAGGTAATTATAAATAGAAACATTCAAATCTATAGATAAGAAATTAAGTTCAGTGAGAAAAAATGAAATAATCAAATAAAAGAGCAAAATCTATCTCAGTGACACTACTTTCTATCTTGATTGGGAGCTTAACAAAAGCCCATATAGTAAATACAAAACATCTCAACAGAAAATATAAACAAAATAATAAGAATAAAGCAAAGGGAAAAATTTCAGCTCAGAAAAACTTCTCTAGGTCCCGTGCTCTTTTTCCTAACTTTATGAAGTTGGCTCCCCTTGAATAACCATGAAAGCCCTTGTTTATAATATCTAGCAGATAAAATTTTCTGGTTGTTCTAAAATACCAAAATATTATTTTCCAATATATATTATTCTCTCTCCTCTTTCACACACACATGTATGTATGTATATAATAAGAGCTTCATTTTCTTACTTTCTTCTGTTCTCTAGTTTATTTTTTCAATTCTTCCTGCAAAGTATAAACGAAGTAAAATATGAGTAAATTATATGTCAAAATCTCTTCTTATTTTATAATGGAGCGATTGAAGGAAAATATATAAAAATTACTAAAATAGGTATAGAATATTAATAAATTTAACTAATTATAATTCAAAATGTATACTTATTTATCAATAAAATTAGAGCTGTCAATTAGAGCCGAGCCTATCGAGCCAGCCCTTTTAAACCCGAAAATAATTATGGCCAAGCTGCTGTTTTGAAAGTAAAAATGGTAATTCGGGCTTAAAATGACTGGCCCTTTTAAGCCTGAAAATAAAATGGCCGACCCTTTCCCTTTTAAGCCCTTTTATTATTTTTTTAAAAAATTATAATATAAAAAATAAAAGATTAAATATATAACTTAAAGAAATAAACATATTAAATGTATTCATCCATCCCTCATTTATTTATTAAAATTTAACTGATAATATTAATTAAGTTTAATTTTTATTGGTATTCATTTTAATGTTGCTATTTGATATTAGACCTAAATATTTTAATTTTCTTTATTGTTGTGGTGTATATTAATTTAAATTTATTTTCTTAAACTTAATTTTATGTATAATAACTTTTTTATGATTATAAATATATTTTTTTATAATTTTAAATTAAAAAAATAATTTTAAAAAAATAGGGCCAAGGCCCTGAGGGCCAGCCCTTTAGCCCTGAAGGCTAGGTTCGGGTCTTATAAAATAAAATTTTGACATACAATTGAGCTTATTAGGGCCAGCCCGTTTAAGCCTTGACCCTTGAAAGGCCGGCTCTAATTAACAGCTCTAAATAAAATATGTAATTATTAATTACAAATTAATCCAATGCTACTCTTATATTCTAACTAGATTTATACCTCGTGTGATGCATGGAAACATTTTGATTTTTGAGAATAGAAATAAATATTAAAAAATTATTTTATTAATATCCTTAAAGTAAAGTAAAATATATTACTTTTCTCTTTATTTTATCTTAATTATAAATATTTTTTATTTTTAAAATCTATACAAATCCTTCTTAATATCAATAGTTAAGAATTATAAAATATAAATATGTATTCTACTTTTAAGTATTTATTTTTACCTATTTAATCATTAGGTGATAGTTACCATTCTTGATATATTCTTTTTAATTTTTGTATATTTTAAACTTATTAGTTATAGAAACTAATTTTTTTAGGATTTTTTTAAATTAAATGCATACTCTATCTTTTAAAAAATATAAGACATTTTTAATCAAATTTTACTCTCAATAAAATGATTATTTGTTTTCAAAATAACATCATCTTTTTATATTTACTATTTAATTGAGTGTTTCACTATAAAATAAATAAAAAATTATTTATTTACTATAGACACTTTTGGGGGAAAAAAGTTAATGATTACATCTTTAAATATTAAAAATGTCCTGTATTTTTAACATCTAACCCCTAATAACCCATAAAAAATGCGATGAAGGGAGTAAGTTTATTAAAATAATATTTCAAACATGTATATACAAAAAAGAGAACTAACTAAAATAAGAGATAAATTAGTTAATATAATTTATGTTTATGTTTATTTAACTTTTATAATTTTGATGAAAAAATTTGTAAATTATGATCATACTTAATTGTTAAAATTTTTTTTGTTAAAAATTGTTTGAAGTTTCTTAAATTAAGAAGCGAGATGATAGATAAATAGATTATAGGAGTAAATTACTAATTTTAATTTTTTCAACATTAATACAAACAATAAATTAAATATTTTATAATACTTAACATAATATTCCTAACCATATTAAAAATGAGACTAAAGGGTAAGTTTTAAAAATAAAAAAGAAGTCTTCATAATTTTAACAGAACAAAGGGATGCCAGTGTATTTTATTCTACAATTTATTACTTTGTATAAATTAAAATCTAAAAAATATTTTATTTTAAAATTTTTTATGTTTGAACATATTAAAAATATAAATAGTAATTTATTCAATTTGAGAATGTATTATCTTGTGTATATTAAAATTTAAGAAACATTTTTTCTTTTTCTTTTCTTTTGTTTCTTATGATATCTCCATGATCAACAAGTGTGGGGCTAAAATTTTAATAGAATAATATCTATAAGAAACAGATTCTATTTTGTAATGCATTACTCTTATACGTAATAAAAAATAGCATCATTTTTTAAAATTTTTTAAATCCTACAATTTAAAATATAATCTAACTTGTTCTTTTTCAAAATGTATTGCCTCATATATCACCTTAATGAAAATAAAATATATATTATAATGAATAGTACTCTCTCTAGTTTTATATATAAGAAAAAAATTACATGACACGGTTTAAGAAAGTTAATTGATTATAATAATTATATCTAAAAATAAAAAAATAGACTAAAATGTCATATGTTAATTAATATAAGAAAGAATTAATTATTTCTTGTTAATGTAAATTATAAAAGGTGATTTAAGAAATGTATAATAAATACTTATTAAAATAGGTGATTTTACTTATATAAAAAAAATAAGTAAAAAGTGATAGTTTTTCCTGCAAATAAAAACAAAGGGAGTACTATAGTTTATGTGATAATATTATTTATAAATTATAATTATAGTAGTTCTAAATCAAGCAAATAATATATTTCATGTTTTACTACCACTTATCAATCATACATATAAGCATTACAAGTGACACAATGATTATTAAAAAAAATTAAACATGCAATGAAAGATAAATTCATTAATATTATATAATTAACTTGTAGCTTATAATTTTTTTTGATCAGATTTGAGGCACATAACTACATCAATATTTTTAATGGGTGTTCAAGCTATAATCTACTTTTACATATAAATAATAGAATAATATATTTTTATTCTTTATGCATTTAAAGAATATAAACAAAAGCTTGTTTTATATATCCTCACACAAATTATTTTGATTTGTTATCTTGTGTTAATAATAAATATATAAATTTTTTTATATATCTAACACCTATTATTTCATAAAAAATCTTACATTTACAATCAATTTTTACTATAAATCCTACATCATCTCTTAAAATATAAAAATTTTATTATTTGTTACACCTTCTTTAAATTTTTAAAATTTATAAATGTAGGCCCACTCACATTTTTTAATAGTAGGTCTCATACATTACTTTTTTAAATCACGCTACTCAATTCATAATGAGTTTGACATATTTGAATATATAAAAAATTTATAATCAAACCCGACTCTTGACACCTCTAACTTTCAAATTTATTTAGACTGATTTAACTACCCTAAATTATTTTATTTCATTTTTCTCTTTATTGAGTTTATAAATTGTGTCTATGAAGATTTGTTTTGACCAATTTATATATTTAATTTTTTAAAAAAGTTACAAAGTAAATACAATTACATAATAAAAAATAATTTTTTTGGTAATTTAAATAATTTTTAAGTAATATTTATATTTAAATAGAGTTATTTTAGTCTAACATATGTGACTTAACGATCAACTAATAGTTAGGTAGATAAAAATAAAATCTTAAAAATAAAAGAGAAGTTTGTATTTTATAACTATCTATATTAAGAAATGTTTATATAGATTTCAAAAAAAAAAGTATCATTAATTAAAGTAAAAATAGATAAAATATTTTACTCATTTTTAATTATAAATTTTATATTAATAATTTTTTTTTATAGATTCTACATGTATCTCTTTCATTGCAAGACCCACCTTATTCTTTTGCTTTTTTATTTACTACACCACATTAACAAAATAAACCCAAAAAAAAGGGGAAAAAGTTGGACTACAGTACCCAACAATAATTGTTTATCTTGGCCTTTAGCTGACGACAAATCAATGATATCAATCACTTTCTTCATACACACGGTCACCAGGAAAACGGAAAAGCAGACACTACACTGTAGGTGAATTTACCTGGTGGGTGAATTCAAAATTTAAAATATAAAGATATTTTTTTTTGGGTGAAATACCCCCTTCATTTTGATTTTTTTTCCCCCTTATCAGCTATCATGTCGTGTTCTTCAATATGAACACGCAGGTAATTTTACCAAAAATATCAATCAATGTCTTCAACATTTTTTTCTTGTCATGTGTGTTCACATTGAAGAATACTGTAGAATCACTCAAGAGGAGCGTAAATTGTGTATTCTTAAAATTTGTTAAAATCTTGTTCCCAATTAAAAGATAAAATAAAGAATAGAATAATTTAAGCACACACTTAAAAGTAAGAAATGAGTTTATAAATGAGAGGAGAAGTTGGACACAAATGGTTTATCTCAGTTTGGCCTGCCACTCAGCTTGCCTCCAATTGAGAATTTTCAAGATCACACTAAAATTTGTTTACTATAAACATAAATTTTAATGAGTGCTTACTATCACAATGCAATCATAATTATCTTGAATTTTAACAATATATTATTTATTTACACAAGTAAGCTGTTACATTTCACCTTTAGAAAATATTTTCAGGACTTTCAATGACAAAATAAAGCCATTTTTTGTAACTCAAACTCTTTGGAAAAAGTATATAAAGAATAATGAAAATGCCTACAGTAAGAAATCAACACAAGATATTAAATACTCATTCAACTTGATTCTTGATATTGAATCTGCACAAGTAATACATACATTTTTCTTGGTTTTGTTATCATTAAAATATTTGTCTCAACAAATACAACATGATAAAAAATAAGATGAAATGAATGGGTGATTTCATCCAAAAAAGATCTTTATATTTTTAGATTATAAAAGTATTAGCACAAAAACAATCACCGTAAAATGATCCTTAATATTTTAACATCTCATGTATAATATTTCAAAAAAAAAACTATCCTTTCATCAATTCATCTTTATGTTTAAACCCTGTTATTAGATAATTATTAGTTATTAAAAATAATTATATCACCAACAGCCCTTAATCTTAGTGGAATGGACTATGACTACTTACCAACTCTTGGGTTCCAGTTAAGTGAGCATTACGTAACGTGCTATAAACTGCTGAAGGATTTTCTTTGGTAAATTTAGTTGCATCAACAAAGGATCTTAATATAGTGACAATTTATTTTTGTAAATGGCTTTGACTTTAACAGTTTTTTATTTACAAACTGAATTTTTATAGGATTAAGATATTAATTCATTTTAAAATATAACATAATTAGTTTATAAAAAGGATGTAACGTATTTATGTAAAATTTATAAAAATTATAGGCAATTTTGCAGATTGTTAGCCAATACTCTCTCCGGAACACAATAGTAATCACTGTTACCTAATTTGTACTTTTCTTAAAAAAGCTAGTTAAAATCTTGATTTTTTCAAAATTTTCACAACTTTCAAATTATATCTTTAGATGAAATAAATAAAATATTTGATTTATTTAAAATACTTTCATTAATAATATGAATAGAATATAACAAAGTAAGTATTATAACTGGGTGGGACCAAATGAGGTTTCTAGCTGGTTAAAAAAACAAAAGTGAGGTTCCTAGAAAACCCCCTTAGAAGGGAGTAATTAATCATATTGGAATGAATAACATGCAGGCAAAATAACAACAACAATGGATGATATAATAAAGCTAATATCTAAGACACCGCTGAATGTACCGATCTAATTTTAAAAGTGGCTTAAGGCAAGAAATTCAAATTGGTGTGGGTGGTAAACCGGAAATGTCCAAAACTCCAAATAAACATTGTAATGTTGTATTTAATTTGAGAGTCACATCACTTTTTTTTTTTCCTTATGCTTAATTTTGTTAATGAAGGAAACTTAATATCATGATTTTTCTAAAAAGAAAAAAGACACTGAAATATCTAAATTAGAATGTTAACATTTTGCAAAATTGTACGTCTAGTAAGGTAATACACTTTATGTTCCCTTACTTAGAGAGTTTTTTCTCCTCGGAAGCTTTCTTCATCTCTATTTAACCATTTACGAAGGTTGCAGCATCTTGTTCTGATCAATCTTGAAAGAACAACAGAGAGAGATGGGAGAGAATTCAATGGAAGGGGAGGAGGCTTTGATATTACAAGGTCAAGCTGATATATGGAAGCACATGTTCAGCTTCGTAGATTCCATGGCCCTGAAATCCGCCGTGGAGCTCCGCATTCCTGACATAATACACCGCCACGGCGGACCGATCACCCTGTTTCAGATCATCGCCTCTCTGTCCGACGCTCCATCTCCAGACACCGCCTACCTCGCCCGCATCATGAGGCTCCTCGTCCGCCGCAACATCTTCTCCGCCCATCGCCCATCCCACGGGGGAGACACCCTCTACGGCCTCACTCACTCTTCCCGGTGGCTCCTGCGTGACTCCGCCGTGAACCTAGCACCCATGATTGTCATGGAGAACCACCCAACCCTTGTGGCTCCGTGGCACTATCTCAGCCAGTGCGTGAGAGAAGGAGGCGTGGCGTTCAAAAAGGCTCACGGCCGTGAGATATGGGAGCTGGCGGCGGAGAGTGCAGAATTCAACGAGCTGTTCAATGAAGGGATGAAGTGTACGGGTAAGATGGCGATGATGGCGATCGTATCGGCGTACAAGGAAGGGTTCGAGAGCATCGGGTCGCTGGTGGATGTGGGAGGCGGCACCGGAGGAACGGTGTCGGAGATAGTGAAAGCATATCCCCACATAAAAGGCATCAACTTTGATCTGCCTCATGTGGTGGCCACCGCACCTGAATACAACGGAGTCACCCACGTCGGAGGAGACATGTTCCACTCCATCCCTCCTGCCGATGCTGTTTTCATGAAGGTAGATAATAATGATAATTCTATAATGTTTTTTTTTTTAATAATCGCTTCTTGGAAAAACCATAACAGCCTTCCCCCCCCCCCCAAAACGCCATGGCCGCATAATATTTTTTTGATTATTATGGTTGACGATCTGAAATGCAGTGGCTACTGCATGATTGGAGCGACGAAGATTGCATAAAGATACTGAAGAACTGCAAGAAATCAATAGCAGAAGAAAAAGGGAAGGTGATAATAGCAGAGTTTGTGGTGAAGGCAGAGGGTGAAGGCTTGTTCGATGACATAGGGTTACTCTTCGACTTGTTGATGATAGCACATTCCTCAGGCGGCAAAGAGAGGACTGAATCTGAGTGGAAGAATCTGCTTCACCAAGCTGGCTTCCCTCGCTGTCACATCATCAACACACCCTCTCTTTTATCCATCATCCAAGCTTACCCTATTTGATTAACCCTATTTCCCAAGGCATCCAATGCTCCTCTCTTGTCCCGTCCTGTATTTTTTTCCCCCATCTTAAAGCTACTCATATATATCATAAAGTTCTTTGTAAAAGTCTGATTCTTCAATAATTGATTTTATCATCAGGCCCACGTGATCATTCATTACTAATTATAGTTAATAATCTTTCCCTTCCGATCCCTTTTTATTTTGGGGCAGTACTAGATTTTAACTCCCCGGATAGTTCTAACAGAATGTAAATTTTTCAAGTAAGTATTCAAACCATCAATATTATTGTATTAATTTGGCATTTCTTGTACTTAAATTGGATAAAAAAGCAAACCAAAATTGTTGAGAGCAGACGTGCAGTTGCAATGATTAAATAATACTAAAAGAATGTACACAGAATTAATGATCAACATAAGATGATGATAGTAATAGCAAAGACGAAAATGCTTAATGTCGAAAAATCATTTAGCCTGTACCATCTAGCTTAGATTTTCTCCGTGAGATTAAGAGAGGCCGGGTTTGGACCATTGTACACCTCTACAAGAGGCCAACTCAACACTTGAAATGAAAAAGATTATATTAAATTATTAATCATAAAACTTTTTTGCATCACTGCAAATTCTTTAGTGAGCAAAAATTTCGTCTAAACATAAGTGAGCAAAAATTTCGTCTAAACATAAGACGAACTTTGCAGATGATATTAAAAATAACTTGCCAGTTGGACTGTGATTGCTCCTTGTACGACATTCGAAATGTATTGAAACAGGAATGTCACCATAACAATCACATACACTACAATATTTGACACTGTTGATTTTTCTCCTGCATTGCTATTGACCGTTGATCTAGCACCTGAATTCATGGTTGAGTCGGGAAAATAATGAAGAAGCACATACACTTCCGAAAAAAATGTTCACATGTCCAAGTCATGATAAAATCTTGTATCGGACAATATACGATTCTCCAAATAAATGACAAAAGGATACCATTAGTCATACATAAATTTTCCTGTCTCATTTTTGGGGGGCTTTTAGTTTCTAAGCAATTGGTTATACCTGTTGTAACTTAACAGGAAGCAAGGAAGTCGTTCACATTCATGAAGCCAATTGCCATCATCTCCTTATTTCCATCCGCTTTGTAGTTCTTGAGAGCTGCAAAAGTCCTTCCTACTGCACTACCGTTCTGTTTGCCCTTTTCAAAAGGAAAAATTACATTCAAGAACCTTTTAAAAAAATTATTCACAAACAGGAACTAACAAAAAACCCCATAAAAAAAAAACAAGTCATGTTTTTATTTTAATAACAATTCCTTTTATATTGGTCTTTGTTTATGAATAATTTTTTTGAGGGGTTCGTTAATGTGATTCTCTCTTTTTAAAAAGGGGATTAACTTGAAATGACATATATACACCTTCATACCCGTTAAATAAATTAGTTTGTTGATGTCATTAACTCTTTAAACCAACGAAAATTGGTTTGCATATCAATTTAGCCCATGATAATATAGTGAATATGAACAGAAAAGAACATAGCCCAAGAAAAACATAATTTCACACCATAAGCATAGCGATGTTGATATCCCTCGAAGCCATTGAACATGACCCATTTGCTACACATAAGAGGACAATGCAAACCTGCACCGAGTAGAAGAGCCATCATTTGCGATGTCAATGGTGGAGAGGGGAGAAGTGAAAGCATAAATTAAAAGTTTGGATGACGGGGATGGGGCAATAAAATGGCATGAAAAAGTTAACAATGCGAGGGAATTTTGAATTGAAAAATAGCTTACGTGTGGTATTGAGGAAGAAGCTTTTGTCCTTAGGTTAATAAACACTCTTTGATCCTCTTTATGAATCATTTTTATCAACCTCATTAATACCAATATAAAAAAAGGGAGAAAAGTGTATAAAATTTTAAATATGCCTTTATATAACAAATTTAAAAAGTGATGTCATGTTATATTTTCTCCATAAAGGGTAATTTTAAAATATTTTTAAATATTACTTAAAAAACCGCAACATAACTTATAAATAAGACTAAATAAATTTTTTAAAATGTGTCTTATAAATGAGATATGAGGGAGTATATCACAAAGGTTTCTAGCTTTTTGCATTGAAAATCAAAAGTAGATTAGAAGCATAAAAGAAAGGAAAAGAAAAGCTAACCACCTTTTGGGTAATATAATCCAAATTTGCTTCTACTGTAGCTTGATGACGAGCCTATAATTTGGACGAAACTTGATAAGCCAACCCAAACTAACTTGAAAAAAATTAAAGTCGAGTTTGACTATATGAATTTTTTAAAGAGGATAGCATATTTTAAGCTTAATTCAAATAAACTCAATTTAAATAAGCTTGGCATCTAAATTTTTTTAACTTTGTATGGATTTAGAGTTGATAATTTTGGCTAAACTTAAATCTGGCTGAAAAAAGTTATGGTTGGGCTTGATTATATGAGCTTTTTTAAAAGGATAGAATATTTCAAACTCGATTGAATAAGCCTGACTCCAATTGAACTCGACTCGAATAAGTTTTGCCCGCCTAAATTACTAACTCTAATGACAGACCTAGGGAGAGACATTTTTAGACAGCTGGATAAACACAGTACTCAACAGGTATAATGGTAAACCCGCCCCATATGTAGCCCCTTCTGTGGTGTTGTACACTCTGAAGCTGATGATCTAGGGAGATAAACTCTGATATCTTGTACTCTTCTAAGAGTTAAGGCATAAATTTTAACAGTCTCTTCCTTTATAGTTCCCCCCCCCCCCCCAATTTTAATGATATATCCCTTATATTTCAATGTAATCAACTCACAATCTTCAGATTTATATATCTGATAAAAAGTAGAGATAATTAATTCTCAATGGATATTATAATATAAGCTACTTGTCAGATATAATGCATTATAATTCTTTTGTTATTTTAAAGATATTTTTCATTATACTTCTGTGCTCACAAATCATAATTGTCAGATAAATCTGTCTCCATTTTATTTTGATTATACAATCTTTCCAACTTAGTATAAAATTCGATTCCATGAAATATAATTTAAAATATAGGCATAATTTGGTGACCATTTAAATTTGTACATTCGAAATGAAGTTTCATATAGATGAGGAAATGAGAAAACAATTAATTATCAACAGAATTATAAAACAAAATATTTGTGAGATATATGCCTTTAAATTGTTGGACAAAATATTTGGCTAGCACCATTTCACCGATAAAAAAGTGAACCTAAGAAATTTAAAACTTAACCAGAAGTGTATGCATATCAACTCGGGGTTAAGACAAAAAGTGATCCTAATAAGTACTAAAAGCGCCCTTTCAACCATAAGGTATACATATTAACCAGAAGTTAAAACAAAAGGTGATCTTAATAAGTACTGGAAGTGCCCTTTTAACCATAAGGTATGCATATTAACTTGAAGTTTAAAAAAATTATCCTAACAAGTACTGGAAGCGCCCTTTTAACCAGAAGCTATACATATTAACCAAAAGTTAAAACAATGGATCTTCTCATAATGATGAGGTTGAAATGAAGCCGTGGAGTGATCTCAAGCCGGAACTGTAGTGTAGCATAGTGAAATGAGTCTGGAGTTGATGACATAGCCGGCTCCGGCTGGAGGAGTATTAGGGGATATATTGATAATTTTGATCCCTTATTTGCTTACGCTCTCCCTTGGTTAACATGTATCCAGCAAATTGATAAAACACCGTGGCACTGGGCTAGTAATTAACCCATCCTGATCTATTTATTTATTGGGTTTTGGGCCTTCACTTCTTTGGTCTAATTCATCAAGGGTGGACCTTAGTCCAGCAAACACAAACATCAACTTAGTTTACATCTCATTAAGAGCTACTATCCATTAATGCCTCACTGGTCTCTCCCTCCCCCCCTCCCAAATTGAAGAGGCTAGCTGAGAGCTAGAAGGAAAAAATGAAAAAGCCAAAAAAAGACTAGTATCTGACTTTTGTTAGATAAAATAAGAGGTTCACACCCTCTAGGGATTTCGAGAAATTTAGGTCAGTTCACTGGGAGAATCGTGCGCCACTCTTGCCAAGTGGTCTGCAGCAGTCATTGCCTCACGGAGAGCATGAAGAACCTTTTAATCACCCTACGCAAATATCAGTTCTTGCACTCCTGCTATGTCCTCATAAAAGGATGAGATCGTTGTACCCCTCGATAGATGAGGTTGATTGCATCAACAGAATCTGAGTAAATCCTTGCCCTCTGAATATTCAAGTTTCTGCAAACTTGGACTCCATATTGGATGGCTTTCACCTCCACAATATTGATAGGTATATTACCCCCTAATCACTCTCTTTCAGCATTTCTTGGCAATCCCCCCCAAGCGGCACTGTTCGCATAGCTTAAAGATGCATCAACGTTCATATGTACAAAACCATGAGTAGAAGCAACGCATCTATAGGCTATAGCCATGGGAACTAGACTTTTCAAGAAGCTGAATTGTCCCAATTAAGTCTCTGTCTTCCACCAGCGTCCTTTATCTATAGATCCACAGCAGCCACCAAACAGTCCTAAACACTCGGCTCCAGGACCATTGACTTAAATTGCCCTCCACTAATCTCATGGCTTGTGTAGTATTCTCTACACTACAAGAATAACAGACTTGCTGCTCTATCTTACTGCTGTCATGTTAGTTCATATACAAGAATAACAATCGTAGAAAAATTCATCATATAATCCTAAAAAACCTGAAAGAGTCATCTTCCTCGTGAATTTTCTCACGAATTACAAACACAGAGAATTAATGTGGGAAAATGAATTTCCCTCCTGCAAATTCGGCATCAAAATCCTCCACCATCATGTCAATATTCTAGTTCAACTCTCATGTGGGAGAACCCCTCCCAGTAAATTATTTATTTTTTCTCTTGTTTTGCTTCCCCCCTTAAAAAAAGTTTTTATGAATTTTTCTGCTACAAAGTTTCTCTTGTAAGAATCCACTGAAAACTTTTCAATATATTATTTTTGTCCCACAATTATGTCTTCTATATCTACATATCTATGTAACACCCTAATTTTAAAATTAATTAATATTTGATTGATGTATAGAAATTAAAACTAGAAAAAAAATTAATCTTGAAGTGAGAGAGAGCCACAAAATTTTTCTTTCCATTTCATGAATAGTATGAAATATAAAAAGAAAAAGTCTCATTAAATAATATATATATATATTGTCATTAAATTTTATAAAAATTTTACAATTGCTTCCTTCAATAATTGAACTTTTGATGTAACCATATCCTTGTGTGATATACACATGATCTAACAACAAATCTTGAATCCAAGCATGATTTGTACTGCTTCTTGACAAGCTATTAACGATGTATTAGGTAATCAACATCTGGACACATTACGATAGAAAAATAAAGTGAGAATTACAAACTCAATAAGGTATATCAAGCTTGAGCTAATAATGGTCTAACCACCTCATGTGCAAAAAATAATTTTCTCACTCTTGTCTATACTGAAATTCACATAAAAATATACAAGTATTCATAATAGGTGTTTATAAAAATTAATAAAAGATTTTACAATATTCTAGTAAATTAGATCATCTTCCCTTTATAATCATATGTGATTATCATTTGAAAATTATAAGAATCCAAAATATAGCACTAAGCATAACCAAGGTGTCTCCCGGTGTGGATCCACATGAATAAATCTCACCCCATTTTCACTTAAATAGAGGTTATCTCAAGGATGCTAGCACACATTAATATGATTTTCTTTTGCATATTCCCATATAATTTATTAAATTAGAATCTTTTGGATGTGAATACTTATAAAGAAATTCCAAACATTTGGAGCAATACAAAACATCCTTGAATTGTATGTTGAAAGATGATAAATCTAAATAAATATAATAGTTGGAAACATACTTGAATTATATGTTGAAACATCATAAATCTAAATAAATAATATAAATAGAAATCCACATAAAACCAGTAACTTCTTTATGTGTGAAATCTTAAGTTCAAAAGGAATTATAACAACATAAAGTTTATGATTAGAGGTCTAAACCACAAAATATAAAAGTATTGGATTGCCAAAATTAGATAAATTCCACAATCATATCATCTATAAAATTAGAACTATTAATGATTTTATACAAAAGATTGCATTTAGAGGTGTCAATAAATAATTGTAGAACATTTATAATTAGCTAGAAATAAAACTTAGTAATAGAACATCTTTAAAATAACCTACCTAGAAATAAAAATAGGAGAAAATGTTTATATTTAAATAAAAAAACTATAAATCTCAATAAGACAAGAATCTTATCCTATATCAACTTTTCTATTTGATGATATTGACCTTTTTTTAATATTTATCCTAGCTTTCTTTCTTCATTTTTTTTATTTGTTTCTAGCATGTTTTTCTCTCAATTTCTATAATCTCTTTTTATCAATTCTCATACATTTTTTCTATATTTTATCTCTTGGTATTATCTCTCTTGCCATCTTCTTCGTGCTCTCTCTCTCTCCTTCTCCGTCATCTAATCTCTCTCTCACATTCTTTCTCTCCACCTCTCTCTCTTGCCTCCCATTTCTTTATATTTGTGTGCTTATAAGAGTGAGGGGTATATATAGTGTTGTTGGTTTGAAAAAGGGGTTAAGAATTCTTAAGGGATAAGTCATGATAGGTGGCATTCTTATCAAAATTTATTTAATTGGGTTTGGCTTCTCCTAAAAGAAATTACTATTGTGTCACATGTGCCAAATGGTGGCTTTCTCTTCAAGAAAAGCACCTCTTTTATACCAATTTATTTAAGTTATTTATTATTATTATTTTTTAATAAAAATTAATTATTATTATTATTATTATTATTATTATTATTATTATTGATTACTAAGAACTGCATCAAAATATCATATATATTTTAGTATTATTAATTTTATCAAAATATTCTATTATATGTTTATCTTTAAATAAATAAATATACTTAAATTCAAACAAGGCATAAAAGACACATAATATTATCCCAAAATTTATAAGTATAAGAGAGATGTATAATTTAAAAATAATAAGTTAACTATTAAAATTCAAATTTTAAACTTATAATTTATTTATATAATTATATGTATTATTTGGACTATTTTAAATTTTTCTAGATGTTACAGTCTACATATCTATAAAAATAAAAACACTAGCAGCAATGCATGTATGATTTAGGAATGCTACATTTCTAGGCTATCTGTACATTAGCATTAATTTTTTAAAAATAATAATAACATTATTTCTAAAACGATCAGAAATCACTTTTCCTTATCCCTTAATATTCTCAATTATGATCTCATTCGTTACCATAACATCTAAACTAATTTCTTCTCCACCCTGAATCCAATTTATGAAATTAACTTTAATTCTTAACTATAATTTAATTGTGAAACGATGTAGATGGAAGTTTATTTTAATTATAAGTTTAATACAAGCATGGTTCTTTTGATAACAAGTCTCCATTTTCACAAGACCGTAATTTTGAAGCAAACCTATGATATAAGTTTTGGAAATAAATTTAATATTTTAATTACAAGTTATTTTGTTACCCAATTTTCGTTATTCAATATTATCCCAGTCACTCTCATTATCTTATTTATCTATCACTTAATTCTCTCTCCCATTATCTCTATTCTAATAATGCTAACTTCCATTACCTTAACTTTCTCCTCATTTTCCTCTTCCATTATTTTCGTTATCTTAACTTCCCTATCATTTCGATCATCTCATTATAAAATTTCGAATTCACAATACAAAAATTCCTTAACCTCTTGCCAGATTCAGTTTTGCAGCGCAAACGCACATTCGCCGCCGCCCCAACACCACAACTCTGTGCTTCATCACTGTCTACCGATTGCCATCCATCAACCCCTCCCCCTTCTAATGTTGCATCATCTACCCTTTCGAATATTGCAAACTGTTTGATTCACTGTCAAAGTAGATTGGGTATTATCAGTGACAAGGCAGGGGATGATTCAAGTTCTAGCCTCGATCTCAAAGATACAGGCCATATAAACCATCAACCAACAACCCTATTGCCCAACTAGCGCTGGTATTTTTAAGGTTTGTGACTTTTAATATTTTATGATATATTACAATGAAATTAAAATTTATTATTATTCTCATGTGTAAACTGTATACTCCCTCTGTTTTTATTTGTAGGGAAAAAAACTATATCATATAGTTTAAAAAAATTGATCAACTATATTAATTGTGTTTGAAAAATAAAATAATTGAACTACAATACTTTTTATTAATTATGTTAATCAAGCCTTCATTAATTATTTTTTATGATTATAAATGATAAAATTATGTGAGGTAATTTAAGAAGTTTATAATAAATACTCATTAAAAAAAGTGATTTTGTTTATATAAAAAACAAGCTGAAAGTGGTAGTTTTTTTTTATAAAATGTTCCTGAATGGAAATTTCCACTGTTTCAACTACTCCCACATATTTGAAAAAGAAATAAATAAAATGTAAGGGTGGGATGCTATAAAATCACACGAAATCACTGCTTATGTCTCTTCTTGATGTTTAAAAAACCGATGCGAAGTCAATGTAAGGGTGGGTGACATGAACGATCCTTAAAAAACAAGAAGAACAGTTAACCACAGGGGATTTCATAATTTCACGTGGCAGATCCCAAAGATCCACAAGGCTCAAGGCGTGTATTATTGCAAATACTTACTCTGGAGGTTATTTTCTAATCCACCATCTCTGGGTCAACGAGCGAGTAAATTACTTCTCGTATTCTTTATTCATACTAGAGACACTCCATTCCCGGTAATTGCAAGCCTTGTATTATAATTGCAGACACTGAATACACCTTTTAGGTTTTCTTGGGCTCCACCACCTTTGAGTGAATTATATACACCATCAAGAGACCCTCCATTTCCGTAGCTTTGGTTTACACTCAATTATACCTACACTTTTGTCCATTTCTTATTTCCTTACATTTTTGTTTGCATATATAAAGATATAGTTTCCTCTATACAGAGTCTCAAGCACGCACGTTGCTTCAATGGAGGGCACGCAAATACTATCGGAGGCTTCTCTAAAGAGCCAAGCAATTATCTGGGACGGCCTCTTTGGGTTTGTGGACTCCATGGCGCTCAAATCTGCCGTGGAGCTCCGCATAGCCGACATCATCCACTCTCATGACTGCCCAATCACCTTGTCCCAACTGGCAGCCTCCTTGGAATCTCCCGCCTCCCCCGACATACCCTACCTCTTCCGCATCATGAGGTCACTCGTCCGAAAGAAAATCTTCAGCGTTCACCGGCCATCCGACGGCGGTGAGGCCCTTTATGGGTTGACAGAGGCATCCATGTGGCTCCTCCATGATTCCCGGTTCAGCTTGGCTCCCATGGTTATAATGGAAAATCATCCGTGGCAGCTCGCCCCGTGGCATTTTTTGAGCGCCTGTGCGAGGGAAGGAGGGATCGCCTTCGAGAAGGCTCACGGCTGCGAGATATGGGACTTCGCCTCCAAAAACGGAGCATTCAATAAGATATTCAACGATGGTCTGGCATGCGCGGTTAAGTTCATCATGGAAGCGTTGTTGCGGGAGTACAAAGACGGGTTCACCAACATAGAAACTTTGGTGGACGTCGGCGGCGGGACTGGCGGCGCCGTGGCCGAGATAGTGAAAGCACATCCCCACATCAAAGGAATCAACTTTGATCTGCCACACGTCATCGCCACGGCAGATCAGCGCCCAGGAGTCACCCATGTTGGCGGCGACATGTTTCAGTCCGTTCCTGCTGCTGATGCTATTCTCCTAAAGGTGATTAAATTAATGAATTCCGACCTTTGTTTTTCCAAACAATGCATTTTGCAGAGGTTGTGAGTATGCATTGCCTGTTTGTGTCGTATATAGTGGGTTCTGCATGACTGGAGCGACGAGCACTGCATAAAGATTCTGGAGAAGAGCAAAGAAGCAGTGAAGGAGAAGAAGGGGAAGATCATAATAGTGGAGATAGTGCTGGAGGAGGAAAATGAAAGTGGAGTGTTGGAGAATACGAGGATGGCATTCGATCTGCTGATGATGGCGCATACGACAGGAGGAAAGGAGAGAAGCGAAGCAGAGTGGGGCAAGTTGCTGAAAGAAGCCGGTTTTGTTCGTTATAATATCATCAAAATCCCAGCCATACCATCCATTATTGAGGCTTTCCCTTTTTGAATTTGTGGTGGGTGGGGGGAGAATTTTCTTATTTGTGGGCGGATGGGTTTATTACTTTGCATCATGTGTGGCGGGTTACTGATAATAAATTAGTTCAGTGGTGGTGGTTGATTTATTGTTTGCTCTTTAACGCTGCCTGTTATGACGTAATAAAACTTTAAATTTTGTTTGCTTTTATATATCTAATCCATTTTTGAAGCTTGGCATTTTTAAATATTTTGTCGCATAGGATTTTGGACTTACATGTAATTTGAAATTGTATCATTTGCTTATTGTTTATGTAATGGGTTTATCTTGTTAGCAATCTCGATGGTTACAAGCAAGCATCAGACTCAGACATTATTGAAATAAACGAGCGTGAACGTACGAGGGGCTAGAGGGGGTGAAAGTATTCCCCCGCCAAAAAAAAAAATTCATTGATGATTATAATCATCACTGTTATATGCATGAGAACGACGTTAGAGAAGATTGAGAAAGGTGTGTGTGTTCTCGCCTGATAAAATATATGGTCTATATATGAATATTTAGCGAGGAAAATCACTTAAAGTCCCATATCTTCGTCAAAATTGGCAATTTACTGTATTAAAATTGTTTATGGGAATTTTCAATTCATAGTTAAGCAATAAAAGTTAACAACTACTCCTTACAAATCACAATATAACATATAAGTCATGTTAACTATTACGTATCCAAACAAATTTTAGTTCAAATCTTGATTTTTGAAAAATTTTCACATTTTTTCAATCATATCCTTGAGTGTGATAAATATAACAAACAACTTACTCAAGACACACTAATTACTTAATAAAATAATGATGTAATTAAATATATATATATATATATATATATACCTTATATTTTGGAGTACTAAACAGAACTTCTAGAAAAAGACTTACATCAAGGTCCAGAGGAGGTATATATCTAGCAATAATTGATAATTTCAATGAATGACATGGGTCTTCAGACTAATTTCATAAAAAAGGTTCTGTTTTTATATTTCTTGTATTGGAATGATAGAGTAATTTTCCCTGTTTAGTGCTTGGAGACGCAAGACCCATCCAGAGTGTGTTAAGTTTGTTTCGGCCGAGAATAACATTTTTCTTCTTTTAAATATCAACGACGAAATTTGGACCAGCTGATTTGGTATGCTTATTTTGGCTGAATTGATATTGTATTGCTTTCTGATATGATTTTTTTTTAACCAAAATGAACAACATGCATATAGTTTCGCAAAAAAATAACAAAAACAAAATCGCAAAGAGGCGAACACGTATGATCGTTGGCGATCGATGTTACATTATAATCACCCTTTACCCCTTTTATATATTGATGACTTCCCCCATTTGGATATATAATTCCATCCCTTCTGTTGCTACAATTTTAATATTTATTCAGGAAATGGACAAAACGGTCTCTCGAATGAGTAGTGAGTACCTATAAACTAAATCCCTTTCAGCTAATTTAGCAGTGACGTTGCGTAGGGTTATTTATATGTTAATGATGTTTAGTTTATTTCAAATATAACAAATAAAAAAATGAATACACGTTATTTTTCTCTCTCAATTATGTTTGATCTTTTTCTTTTTTGTTCTTAGTTGTCATGCTACAAATTAAATACAAGCACAAATTTCACGAGTGGAATGTCCCACCAAGCAATGCAGCTCTTGATCTTTCCAAATTGTTCATGTTAAGCCTCTATTTATTTATTTTTTCTTTTTAATGCTCCTCTCATCAATTTGCGTCTGATAAAATTAAATATCAATTATCTTATTTCTGAGCTTAGAAAGAAAATGATAATTACAAATGAAAATTCACACTGCAGTTCCTCATTCCTTGATTACTGTACATCAGCAGAGATATAAAGAAAGTCTGGAATAATAAGATGACGACATGTAGGTTATATGTGTCGTCTTTTCTATTTCTATCCTACACGTAACTAAACAATCTACCAGAAAGAAAAGACTTGAGCATGTCCTCTTAATTAACAGCTACATTCACATGATATAGATATATATGTTGAACTTCTCCTTATAAATTAGAATTTCCTCCGATCCATGCCATGCATGGGGAAATTTTTAATTATTTCTTTATTAGTAATGGAGCAGTTTGGAAATAAAATTTTTTGACTCTCAAGATATAATTATACAATAAACTCTACTTTTATCATGGATTATAATATTTTGGTCTATAAAGTATTTGCAGGAGCTTCAATTTTATTTTATTTTTATCTATGGAATAATTTAATCTCAAAAGATGTTGCAAACACACAAACAAAAATTTAAAAAGAAAATCCATACCAAAAAATTAACATGTTAGAAGGGAAAGTTCCCTCACATTTATCTCATGAGATTCCTTGGTGTGGAATCCATAGCAATGAATTTTAATTCGAGAGTTGACATCCCAAATGGTTGTACTCTTTATACTTCACTTGACTTTCTGTCAGTTAAAATCCTTTATTAGCAGTCCTCTTCTTTACAACTGTTACAAGCATGCAGGTTTATAAAAAGGGAAAAAAACTAATCTGTTAAGAGGGAAATTCCATTACATTTATAAACCATATATACTTATTTTGTAAGGTTTCCTAAGTCGTAGAATGCTGAGCTTTTTTACAATCAGAGATTTGTACAAAGTCATTTAACACGGTCTTGAATCATTTGGTTTATTCTTGTGTTGTGGAGTTTTTTAAAAATCGAAACCGGTTCATACCTAAAACCAAAAAAAACAAAAACAAAAAAACCATACTTCTTGTTTACTACACCAATGACCCCAGAGCTGTAATTTTTGCCAAACGACGCCTCAGTTACATGTTGCGCGCGGTACACTGGGACCCAAGACTCTCTTGTATAGAAAATGCTCCTCCACTCTCTTCTTTGATTGTTCGACGTGGGACTTGGATATAGGAGCAATAATATTAATTTTTATGCAAAAGAATGCTTTTTTTTTTATTATCGTTAATGTTTATTAATTATTTTACTTAATCCTTAAATTATTTTTATAATATAAATACAAATCTTTAATTTTTAGACTTCTAATTATTTATCTATAATTTTATATAGTGTTGATCTTGTGAATTTAGCTTTTTTTTTCTTTTTAAATGTTTGTTATCAATATTATATACCAATAAAATGATTTTTCATTAAAAAAAAACTTTATTAAATATCATTTTATAAATTTAATCTTCTATATTACTTGTAATGCAATATTTAATATATAAACATGTAAATATAATAATTTAATAATAAATGATTCGATCACGATCTGATTATTAATTCTTAAGTGTCTTCTTCAATTCAATGACTGATTTGATTTTTACAACCTTGGTCAACATTTCAGCAAAGTCAGCATACTTAACATGCGTGAATCCCACGGTATCATTAAATAACTGCCGCCTTAAAAACGATGGAAAGTAAACCATCTCATTAAGGTAATGTACCACGTACTGATTCACTAAAAAGTAGAGCAAAGCATCCATTCACAATGTGATGAATGCTCTCTCTCTCTCTCTCTCTCTCTCTCTCTCTCTCTCTCTAAGTGATGATAATTTCTATCACTTGCGCTAACTTTAATTAATTGAACAAAGTTCAATTCTTGTTAAAAGATATATTTAGCGTTCACCTAGTCGACAGAAGCAAAAATAAAATAGCACTGTACCTGCGATATTGGTTTAGGCTATTTAGGGGCGGGGGCTTGTAATTCGCAGAAAGCCTTGGGCCATTGGCTGCACATGCATACTTGTATGAAGATGAAGGACTTCAAGAAAGCGTAATAAAATTGGATTTGTGGTCCAGGGACTAGGATAGGACCAGAAACACGACCCCTTTTAAAGAGCTTAATACATTTGGTCGCCGGGGCACGAAATATACAAAGTGGAAGGCCACTCAGTACTACGCTGTACTTTCTCTTTTTCAACCAATTACCATCAATAATCATTAGTAGGGTAAAAAATGATCAATAATATATAAGATATTCAACTATACAGTCCGTTATTGAGGCCTTTATTTCAAAAAACAAAAATGTTGTGGAACTAGAAATCTATAAAGCATTCATGTATCTATATTGGTATGTGATATCGATATTCATTAATACTTTTTACATTTTTATAGAGCATCAAAATATTATTTTTTAATTTAACAAATTCTAAATTTTAATATGTATCCGATATTTTTAAATTATAAGTTAATACCTTAAAGCTGATAGTTTGAGGCTATTTTTTAAAAAATTAATTTTTACTAAATATTATTATACTAATTTTTTGTTTCTAATATATTCATGTGATTTACTTTTAAAGTTAAAGGTTAGATTTTTCTTAAAAAAATAAGTTTTATATATAATAAAGGGATAAAATTTATATTTTTTTAATTATAAAAATGTAGGAATACAGGGCTTGTTTGAAACCATTTTTGTTTTATTGTTCTTAGAACTGGTATTTTATAAAACATGTTTTGATAACAAAAAATAAATAAAGATGTGTTTTTTTTTTATTTTTCTATATTCTCTAGAACAATAATTTCAAAACACTTAAAATATGTGTTTTTCCCATAACAATATTTTATTTTTTATTTTTCCAAACACTTTTTAAAAATAAGTTACCAAACATTTTTTTCATTCTAGAGAACATAAAATTATTTTCAAAACAAATTGCCAAACAAGCCCATAATCTCTGTGCAGTATTATTCTCCTAAAACAGGTTGCCAAACTAGAACTATTATAGCAAGGATTAGGTAGTGAGCAATTAGATGGAATAAAAAGTATAATTAATGATATTGTTTTGCTTGGTATTGCTATAAAGAACTATATGTGTATGTGTGTGTTAGGTTGGATATTTTTTAAATTAAAATTATATTTTTATAATTTTTATAATTTTTTATAAATCTATTTACATGTATAAAAAATATGTCGTTTTTAAAAATAAAAGTATCATATGTTTATTTATGTAACCAGCGTTCACCACCGAACATTTTTTTCATATGTAATACCTTTAAAGTAATATTTTCCCACATTATTATTGATTGATATTGACGATCGGCTCATGATTCTGCAAGCACCAGACATTCAAAATGGCAATGATACATGCGGTTGAAAAAAAAGACTTTTTTTTTTTGCCATTATTTTATGACTTGTGACATTCGATCTCATGGTCCAAATTGAATATTGATTATTTGAACATGTAAGCCCAACAAGAAGTCTATTGTGCTTAGAATAAAGGGCCCATCCAAAATGGTTCTTTAACTGGGCAAGTTCAATTTCTTCTCTTGGGTATCAACCATAAAAGTTGGACCTCCTGAATTGCCTTCCTCTTTCTCCGCTTGCCATTTTAGAGCTATCCTGTATCATTATTTAAGCGTACGCAAAAAATAAAAAAAGCAGAGAGAGAATATGACGTGATAGTTCCACATTCCACAAACAAGAAAAAAAATCCAAAAACATTTTAACATGGAAGCACTAACGTAAGACGTTCAAGCCTGATTTTTGTCCAATTTTTTAATCAAGCTTAATTTCAAGCCAAGTTGCCGGCAATATTAAAAGCTTTGCTTGCCCTCCTGTCTACCCTATTCCTATCCCATCCCCACTTCATCATTCATTTCAAACCCCCTATCTCTTTCCATTTCTCTCCATTGCACGCTTTCACTCTGTTTCTTTCTGATCTGCTTGTATTGTATTACACATTCATGACATTGCAACAAGACACTCAATCACGCCAACATCTTTGTTATCTCCATCCTCTTCATTTTGGAGGATACGCTTTTTTTTTTTTTTTTTTTGCAGCATTCATATTCTCGTCTCGTCGTTTCTCCAATTAGCCACGTCATTAAAAAAAATTATAGAGGTTTTTTATACCCATCTCAACAAGAAGGTTAGTTCAGAAGTCACCTCCTACAGATTTTCCCGGAATCTTGCATTAGCTGAGGGAAAACAGAGCAACCAAAAATAGCAGGGCACCATCGTGGAGTGACGTCGTATATCAAAATAATTAAACGTGTATCATTAACTTTTGTACATATGCATGACGTAACGAAATATGGGCAAAAATTTAGGACCACGTTCACAAATCACGAAACGCAAAAATTACAGTTGAATAAGGAATCGAAGTGAACAAGGAAATATGAATGCAAAAAAAACAAAAATCAGTTGCTGTGTCTAATCATAGTCGTAGGATGGATCAACAGCTCAGCTAAAAAATTTAATAGCAAGGGTTGAAGGGAAAAAGTACGAAGGGGTTATCAAACAGGGGAAAGCAGGAGTGGAGTGGAGTGAAGTAGTGCACAGCTGGTATTGCATTGAATCATATGGACAGACCGTGCATGTGCAAAGTGACAACAACGTAGATGGATGTCGCTTCTTCTTCTACCAACCCCTCATGGCTTTCCGGCTTCCTCCACTTCTCCATTATTGCTCAAAAGTCAGAACACTCTGTTATTAACCTTCCCCATCTACACTTACCTCCTATTATTAGTATCAGTTTTCAGTCTGCTCGCTCTTCCTATTTCTTTCCACTAATTTATATACATACCAGTCTGGTCGTGTTCTCCATTCCTCGTGATGAAATAATCCAACGCGTTTTAGGCTGCACCCATTCTAGTACAGTTACGACATGATAGACAACGTAGGTTGTTGCTTTGTTTTCTCTTCAAGTTATTATAATTTAATTTAATGGCATTTCAATTAAATCGCGACAGTTGATAAAGTTGTCACCGAAACGATTTGTCACTCCTGGCACTCTGCATTTAAGCTCTTGTTCAGTGGCATTATCCAAGTTCTGTAGAAACGCAAGTGTGATCTTGACCCAGGCAGATTGAATATAAGAATTCTCACAATGAATACGGATGCTAATTTCGGTCGTAACCACTGATCCATATTATACAGATGGATCGTGAACCATGTCACGATATGGCAGGTCAAGTACGTGACATTATTTTTGGGTCTTTCCATTGCCGTCTTAAGGTTTTAATTTGGGTGTCACGAGTCCAGCGATATGTATGTTTGTTTCATGTGAAGAGTCTCATTTCTACAGCAACGTAGCTTTCCAAGTTAGCCTGTCTCTTTATTAATTAAATCTTTCGCTTTTATGTTATCCAAAAAAAAAAAAAACCTTTTGCTTTTAGGTTTACTACTATATATGTGCTTTAGATTTTCTAACAAGAAGGAGCGAATTTTTAACCATCATAAAGTATAACAGAGGGCCCTCTTCAAGGTGTTTTATATGAGTATTCCCCATGATAACTACTCCCTCGGCTTTTCTTTTCTTTTTTATATGCAAGTAAAAATAACATAATTTCATATATATATATATATATATATTTAAGACATGTTTTTAAATTATGTAAAATAGCCAAAATTAGCTTGTATTTAAACACGTCATGAGTTGGTATCGAGTTTAGGGTAATATCTTGTTCTTCCATGTGCCTTTGGGGACCCCCTTTTGCCGCTCCACTGGTCCACACGCAATTCCAAACCAATCGTGTTTAAACATTACAACCCACCACTACCAAACCCTTCCTCCCTCTTTTTCATGGGTCACGAAGCTGTTTACAATTCGAAGGTCTTAATTTAATGTTAATATTCTTTTAGGATTCTCATTTGATGTATGATAAATAACTAAATCGCACAACAAAAGAGGCAAAACCAGTCTTAAGTTTTTTTTTTTTTTTTACCTCAACCAAATCATCGTCAATACACAATCGATCTCTACAAGCAAAGCCTCTGCGAACAGAGGAATTGCCGAACAGGAACAGGGTCATTTCATCAAGTTACCCTAAAGTGGACTCTCAGGCGTTAAAACAGCATACTACAGATTAATCCTCATTCCTCACAGACACACATTCTCTCTAATAGAGTAATAGTGAAAAGGAAGAAAGAAAAAGCTCCATTAGTCCAATCCAGGACAATATGAAACAATCTCCCCTAGAAGGTGGCATTTTTAGGTGTCGCGTGCTTTCCACAAGGGATATCTATATCTATATATATATATATATATATATCTTTCATAGGGTTTGTGAGTACTCTGTGTGTTTTTAGGTATGGCGAATGCCCATAAAGTAATTGAAGTCGGGGTGCTGGACTGTGAGTTGCTTCAGCCATGAGTCTGCGACGCTCGAGAGCGAGAGAAGCCTCTCTTGGTCCCTCCCATTATTGCCGGAGATCCACACATTGCCTTGCATTTTGTAGGTGGCCAATCCAAATGGTGGCACAGATATTCCTTCCCCTTCCTTTCTCTTCGCTTTCCCTCCTTCTACCTCATCTTCTATGTCCATATCTGCATACACAAACACCCTCACCATTCACTGCATTTTCTTTCGCACACACCTCCACTTTCCCTAAAAAATGTTGTTCTTTGCGTTCTTAAAAGCTATATATCTTTTTCTCAATTCGATCCCAAGTTTTCACCTTTTCATTTCAATCTGGCTGCCTTCAATGTTATCTGAGCTATTAGCTAACACAGTTAAGTTCAGTGTTGTTTTCATGGCTTACACTTTCAACGGGACTAATAATCTGTTACTGCGACGAGTTCAGTCATGTGCTTTTTTCGTGTAAGATGTTTTCGAAACAAAAGGAAAACTTGGTGGACGCAAACATTCCGAGGAGGGAAGCGTGAATGGGAAAGGGACAGTACCTTGGAAGGAAGAAGAAAGCGTGTGGTAAGTGAGGAAGCATGTGGAAAGATCTTTGATTGTCTTTCCCATTGGAATATGATATATCGGATACCTGAAAAGATAGAATTAGTACTTACTATTCGATCAAACTAATTATCATGAATCCTTTTCAAGATTATGTATAAACATGTGTGTGTGACAAATTACCAAGCAACTGCCATCCAACTAGCTGGCGAGAGATCTACGCTTCTCAATGACGTCAAGCCAGGGTATCTCTCAGCTAAAGCTCTGATCTGAAAGAAAATAAAGTCCATCACTCGCTGATCGAATCTCCTTCCATTTTACTTTTACACAGGTCGGTGACATGAAGAATTTGAAATCCAGACCATCCAATGAAGGGTATCGTATCCAACAAAAGAGAACAGTTTTTTGAAAGAGATGGCTTTGACAAGATCAGAAAGGAAAAGGAATAATAAATGAGTCTGCAGATTGGTGTTGAAAAGTCAAAAGTTACAGTTGAACTTTTCAGAGTGGTATCTGCCAATCAATGTGGTGACTGGTGATTACAACGATTATCTTTTTGCTACTGTACCTAATCAATAGCGTTGAAGAAAACAAAACAAAATCAGACGAGGGCAAAAAAAAAAAAGAGTTAACGGACCTTATCCATGAGAGGAACTCTGCCGTAAGGAGTTGATCTTTCAAAGTACTGGAAATAGAGATGACCCAATCTGTCGTTCAAATGCCAGAGACTGTCTTGCTCAAACCCTGCTTCTTCAGAGGACAAGGAACCATCGCATCTCCATAACTTATCACTCTCACTCTCTTCGCTGTAACAATCACTGCAAGAATCCCTCGTCTCACACTCACCTGACTCTGTCTCTTCCCTGAAAAATTCAAACCCAATCATCAACATCAAACTTTCATTCTTCCATCATTCTGAACAGGACAACATTGGTGCTATTTGATCTGGGCTGAGTGGCATGGAGGTACCTGAATCTGTTGCTGGTGAAAATCTGAATAGCAGAGAGGTAAGGGACGTAATACTGGACAAGGGTCTCCCCATTGTTTAAGGCGATGGGGACTCCGGCTCCGTAGGCGCTCCATTCGTCGTAGCGATTCCAGAGATCACCCAGCCTCAAGTATTCTACTCTCTCTCTCTCCCACGGATGCCATAACCGATTCAGCTTTCTAATCTCCGACTGTGTCGTGACAACAAACACAGGCACATAAATGTAAATATATTGAGATTTTCTCATCGTCTGGGTAATCAAACGCAAACTCGAAGATAAAAACTTACGTTGGGTAGGAACTGGGAATGAACGACGGGGGTGATACACCGGAGGAAGCAGTCAAGGTTAGATTGCGTCGAGACCTTGTCGAAAATCATGGTGATCGAGAGAAAGAGGGGATGAAAATGGAGAATGGAGAGAAGGGGGGTTTCAGAATCTCTCCCCCCGGAATCTCAGAGAAAAAATTGGAAGGCAGAGAGAAAAATGTATGCAGAAAATTTGTCGGGGGAGGGGAAAAACAAAGAGAGAGAGAGAGAGAGAGATAGAGAGAGAGGGATAGAATTGAAATGCAAATCACTCGCCACGAACAGAAATGACTTGCATTTCTTTTGACTTTTAGACGCCAACTTTTTCCGCGAAAACTCAATCTGGCTTTCGATTTCTCTCTCTTTGTTTTCAAGGACAGTGACTTTGCCGGCAACGTTGTGCCTCCTGCAAAATTTGATGTATCCAAATACGATGACGACGACTTTCTCTTTCCCTGGCTATTTTACTAAACCTTGAAGAAAACTCAATCTTACTCTGCTTTGTTCAATGTTTAAGGAACGCTCTTCTCAGGATTAACGAGCCGACGCTTTCCCCTTGAACGAATCTTGGGACCAAATCAAAACGGACCAAGTAAATGCCCTCCCGGAAGGATCACGGAACCACACACGGATTCGCGAGCGCATAAAAATAAAATCAAAAAGGAAAAAACGTGAAAGGAAAGAAACCGAAAGAGAAAAATGGAGGAAAATTGGGTGTGTTTTCAACAGAAACCCCTGTTTAAAGGTTACAGCGAGACGATGTGTTACTAGAGGAAGACCGAAAAGCAACCGAATTTCGCGGGAAAGAAAAAAAGCTGACCAAGCAATGAGCAAACCGACGAGACTGAGACGAGGTCACGATGAGAAATAGAACGAGTCTGGACTCGGTACCAAAAATAAAATAATCCAAGCAGGGCAGAGCTGTGGGATTCTAGAAAGAAGGAACAGGGGATCTGATCGTGGTTTATGAGGTTCATCCTTCTTCCTCCCACTCTCACGCGTTGCTACCTATGAAGATTTCCCACCTTCCATGCCATCGTTTTTTGTTTTTGTTTTTTTTAATGGAGTCCTTCTCTTGACCAAGTATATGACTGTTTTTCGTTAGTGAAAAGTCAGTTTGTTAAGAATTTATTTAATTAAAATTAATTTAATAAAAATAAGTTATTATAATAAAATTTATATTTAAATATAAATTTTTAAAAGTCAGTCTAATAAATTAAAAATTATTTAAATTATACATAATGAAAAATACTTCTAAATGCATAGTTACCCAAATAGACATTAATATTTATGATTTATAATTTATGTTATAAAAATGTTTCATACTAAAAATACTTTAAAAATATATATTATAAAAACGTTAAATAACAAAAAATTTGATAGGTTAAATAATAAGATTTTAAAAATATAAAATTTGATGTATTAAATGGGTTAAAATACATTAATACTAAAAATTAACACAATTAATTATTCATTATATAATATATAGTTTGATCTTTAAGTGAAGAGCACAAGTTAGAGTACTATTTAAAAGTCAAATCCACCAAATGTCCTGTTTTCATAAATTTTATATAGATTTTTTATTGGTAACAATTCATACAAATGTATATATATATATATATTGATATAAAAGGATGAATATAGTAAAGACATGGATAGAATTATAAAAACTAGACAAGATAAAATCCTCTTCCCTGTGTGAGAATTGAGGAACACGAATACACAAGAAGTGATGACCGACGCAAAACTGTTCCTAAAAGCACCTTGGAGAAAAAAACGACCGACTAAAATCATCGGAGGAAATGCAATATGACACCGTGAAGAAGATGCAACCTTGATCTAGTTTGGAGAATCAAAGTCTTCATTGTCTTTGATGACTCTGATATGAAGAACTCAAACTGGAAAAAAAAGTAAGTTCTTCGATCTGTTGAGAGGTGAAAGGAGAAGAGAAGAAGAGATGCGGGCGAAGGAGGGAGGAGGACAAGTGTGAAGGGTGATAGAATCTTCATGGCCAAAGGAGAATAGAAGAAGGAGAGAGGTGGACGACGGAGAACTTGCTCTCCGATCGGTAGATGAACCAGTGTAAGGAGGATCAAGTCACTCACTGTTGTAAAGGGTATCATGGTCAATTTAAAATTAGATACATTTTTATTTCCTTTGTTAAATGGCTAAATCCCACTTTCAAACTAAAAAAGCTTCCCCTAGTGGCTTTCGGTGAATCCACATTCAATGGCATTTTTTCAAAAATCAGTTTAGAATAAAACAAAATAACCAAACAACATCCCACGTTTTGAACTTTCAGAATGTGAAATGTGAAAACCTAAACAGATTCTAACTTGTTCACCTGTTGTTCTTCTCTCATGTGGGAGGGGATCTCTCTGTTTTTTTTTTTTTTAACTTTTTCAGTTTAAAAAATTATCTGATAAAATGACATGAATGATGGAAATGGAGAAGTAGAAAGGAAAAGGGGAAAAAACAGAGTCACCCCTCTCCCCTCCCTTATAAATTGTGTCAATTTCTTTCTTTTTTTTTGGCCAAACAAAGTTAATTTTATTAATCAACAAAAAGAATTACAAACACTACTAGTTGAAGTCAAAATAAACACTCAAAAAAATTTAAAATACAAACTAACTCACAAGCTTACCAAAAAAGAAAAACAACAAAAAACAAAACAATAACACAGAGCAATACTAAAACAATTAACCTTTTTTTTTTTGTTCATAATACAAGAATTAGAAACAAAAATTCTGTGAGCTACTTTCAGATCCACAGCAAAAAGAGAAGCCAAAGGGGATGGAGGCACCGTCATCCAATCAACATGATACATCCCCTTTCTAGCAAATCCTGCAAGAAAATCAGCAAGTTTATTACCCTTACGAGCAACTAGAGAGAAACTAAAATCTTTAAGAACATTCTTTAAACAAAGCAGCTCCTGCAATACATCCACACTCTGCCATTCACAGCCCAAAGATGAATCCTTGCACAACATATCAAATAAAATTTTACAATCCAATTCAAAGCAAACATGATACTCAAAAAATTTTTGACGCATAGAAAATGCATTCTTCTAAGCAAAACATTCTGCCATGAAAGAGGTCCCTGCTGACATCTTCTTACAAACACCACCCATAAACAACCCATTATCATCTCTACAAACAGTTCCCATACCAGCAGGCTTATCACCATCTACCCAAGCTCCATCAACATTGATTTTAGTCGAACCACTGTTAGGAGCAACCGAATTCAAATTCCTAACAAGAGAATTAGAATAATTTTTACTTACATCTATTAAAAAAGTTAATACTCCCTCCTCTCCTATTATTAAAGGGCATCTTATAGAATAATTTTTCATTTTTAATATAAAATACTTAATAGAGTATTAATTATATATTTTTTTAATATTACTTTTATTTATACTCATTAATTATAAGAGATAATGTGATATAAATTTAAATTTTTTATTTAAATAAATGTAAAGTTAAAAATTTATTACATTTTTAAATAAAGTTAATAATTTAATCACCTCTTATTAGTTATAGTGAAATGGATAGAGATGCTCCGTAATAGGGATGAAAGAGAATATATCATGGGACTTTAATTTGATTTAGAAGTATATGTATTAAAAATCAACATAGATGCACTAACTATTTCTTAATTAATATAAACAACTCATAGCTCGTCTGGCTTCGAGCAAAGTATTGCAAAGAGCATTGTTTAGCGAAGGACAGACAGAGACTTTGTCATTCCGGTGCCGAATGGTAACAGCATAAATATAAAATATAAAAATTTTAATGAATCCAGTTACTTTTAAGTCATGAATTCGCGATCTAATGAAAATCTATTAAAACGTGTGTTAGTTAAAGAAACAAAGCTGAATCCTTTTTTATGGTTAGTTAGGTAAAATGTTGAAAAAAAAATGGAGGTAAATCTGGGTTAGGAATGTTAAATTTATTTAATTATAATTATAATTATAATTATAATTAGTTTTCCGAAAGCATTGACTATTGAGGGTTTGGCTTCCATTCACATGATATAAAATGTATTTTAAACAATATTTCAACATAAATGATCACTTGACCATTTGTTCTTGATTTTTTCAAACAAATAAAGCGTGTCAAATGATATACATTATTATTATATGTGGAGATTAAAATACTCATTTTTGCAGTCAAATTAGAGCATGTGAAAGCTAATAACTATTTTTAATATGGAAAGAGTCCGTTTAAATGTACAAAAATGTATTTTTCGTTTTTTAAACTTAAATAAAATATTTCATTATTCAATCATATAATAAAATCATAAAAGTTCCTTAATACTTTAATTTACAATAAACTAAATTCAGGATAAATCGGATGAACTTTTGTGTACCGATTTTTTTTTATAAGGCCGGTTATATTTATATCATGCATAAAATGAATGAATGCACTTCAGAACGTTTCTGTTGTGATTTTTGTTTTTTTTTTAATAACGTTTCTGTTGTGATTTTTGTTTTTTTTAATATAGTGTTACTTAGAGTAGATACTTTTAAAGATGATAATAGTTTTTTAAAATCAAAATTAAATGAAAGTATATATTTTTTCTGGAGGAAAAAAGTATCCATATTTCAAATAAAATGCAAATGCGTGTAGAAAAGAGGATTGTACTATGTAATACTCTATATTTTAATAAATTATTCCTTCCATTCCATTATATTCATGTTTTGAGATTTTCACACATAGATTAAAAAATACAGTAAATATGTAAAGCTATTTTATCAATTTTTCCTTATTTAATTGCGCTGGAAAACGTACAAGTGTTTGATAGCAATCAATAAACTAGTTAAAGTGTTGAATTAAATGAAAGCAAAATAGAAAAAAGTATTATGAAATATTGATTTGAAATTTAAAAAAAATTATAATAAAACGGGAAGAAGTTAGAATTTAAAATGCAATACAGTGATGTTGAATTTTGATTTTTGAAGCTTCGAGTAGTGCTGAGTTGAGTGTAAGAGAAATATGATTGGAATGGTTGGGCAGGATGAAGCCGGGCGAAACCGCGTGAAGGAAAGGACCGCGAGACGGAGATTGTGTAGAGCTCCCTCATATTCATAAAAAAGTGTCATATTTTGATGATTAGAAATGAGTGTTGCTTTCGAAATTTCAATCAGCTATTAATTGTTCGGTCAAAAAAAGAGAAAAAAAAAAAAGATCAGCTATTCATTGATTATTTTTACTATTTTACCCTTTAGTAGATATTTCATTGAAAAAATTAATTATTTAATTCTTACAGTTTTAACCCAATTATAACTTAATCTCTCAATTTTAACTCATTATCATTCAATTTTTAAAGTTTTAACTTAATTATAAATCAGTTTTTGAACTTTATCTATTGTAATTTAATTCTCAAAATTTCAACCTCTTAAATATTGATCCTTATATTTTAAAAAATAAAATTATAAAAATTAAAAATATTTTAAACTTTTAATATTCATAATATTTATAAATATTCAAAGGATTTAATAATTTAAAAATTAGTAATAAATTTTAAAATATTTTTAGTCTTTATAATTTTATTTTTTAAAATATAGGGACCAATATTTAAGAGGTTGAAACTTCAGGGATTAAATTATAATAGATAAAGTTTAGGTATTAATTTATAATCGATTCAAAATTTCAGGAATTAAGTTATAATTAGGTTAAAATTATAAGGATTGACTGATTAATTTTTTCTATTTCATTTATTGAATGAATCCATCCCACATTTTCCATGGATTGGTTTTCATTTAAAGGAAGTTATTTAACTAAAGTATTATAATAATATTTTAATAATTTTTCAGTCTATATGATGAATCTCAAGAAGGCACTTTTTATGAGGTGGCCGGAAAGAATAAAAAGAGAAGCTTCAATACCAGTTTAGAAATAAAAAGAGAAGCACAAAGGTTAATAACAAGTTAAAACTTTGATACTTCAAAAAATAAAAACTAGGTGGAATATACGTGCAGCAGAGTTTAAAATTAAGTTACATTAATAATAAACAATGAATAATGTACACTGGTAAGTT